CCAGGCAGCGCCATCAGACAGTTCGCCACCAGGCAGTTCGCCACCAGGGAGCACTACCAGGCAGTTCGCCACCAGGCAGCTCGCCACCGGGCGGTTCGCCATCAGGCAGTTCGCCACCAGGCAGCTCGCCACCGGGCAATTCGCCATCTGGCAGTTCGCCACCAGGCAGCTCACCACCGGGCAGTTCGCCATCAGGCAATTCGCCACCAGGCAGCTCGCCACCGGGTAGTTCGCCATCAGGCATTTCGCCACCAGGCAGCTCACCACCGGGCAGTTCGCCATCAGGCAGTTCACCACCAGGGAGCACCACTAGGCAGTTCGCCCCTAGGCAGTTCGCCACCAGGGAGCACCACCAGGCAGTTCGCCACCCGGCAGTTCGTCACCAAGTAGCTCCCCCTGCCACTGGGTAGTTCACCACCAAGCAGTTCATCACCAAGTAGTTTTCCCCCAGGGAGTTCGCCACCAAGTAGCTCATCACCAAGGCACGTCATCGCCGGGTCAAACAACGAGGTACTTAGCCAAAAAATTTATACATCACAAAAAATGGTACGTGACCAAAAACGGTTACATCAATAATTATTTTATTTGATATACAAAAAAATTATGAATTATAAAAACTAGTTATTGTAAATATTAAATAAAAACATTATATATAATTATTTTATGTATGTATATAAAAGCTCGATTAGTCAATTAAACTAGCAAGCCTCATGAACTGAGTTCGACTCAATTAGCAAATAAGCTTGTATATTGGGCTCGAGCTTAGTTCAAAGCTCAATTTAAACCAAACCAAATCAAACATTTAATGAGCTAAGCTCTAATATAACTAATGAAAAACTCAGCTCATGATCACTCCTACTCCTCGCTAACTGAAACACGACCTTACACTATTATAATAGGTGTTTGGCATCGGTGCTAGGAACATCACACCGTTTTCTCATAAAAACAGTGTTGGGCATGTGGAGTTGTAAACATCGTTTTTTGAGAAAACGGTGCTTTTTTTTGGAGCCGGTGTTGCCACATATGTTTTTTTTTTCCTAAGAAAAAATACTAGTTTTATTTGGTACCAGTGCTGATAGTGACGTTTTCAACATGATCTATATTATCCCACGTTCAAGGTGATGCTATATTGATACCACATCATTGCACCACTAGCAACAATGCACCGTTTTCTTAGAAAAAATATTGAATTTGGCATTGCTCCAAACCACACTTTCCCTGTGCGATCTGAAGCAACGTTTATTTCTATAAAAAAAATGGTACCAAACAAGAGGGCGTCGTTTAAAACATCGCTTTCTTTGATTTGGCGCCTACATGGTGCCATTTTATCAGAAAACGGTATCATGCCAAACACAACCAAGAGTTATGTCCCATTATGAATTTCTCCTGTTTGTTCCCACTCACCCCTCTTTTTCAATCGGATGGCAAAAAGCCAACCCCTCTCCCACTATGGAGCCCACCAGTGCATAGTCCACGTTAAATCCGGCTAGTACCACTAGGGGTGAGCATTATTTGGTTAAAACCAAAATATCGAACCATAAATTTTATTTTTGTTTTTTTTTTTCAGTTTTGGGTAATTCGGTTCGATTAATTTAGTTTTTATGAATTCCAGTTTTTGGTTTCCAGATTTATAAATTCAGTTAATCAGGAAAAAAATGAATTAATTAAAATTCATTATATAATATGTAATATACAATATACAATATATAACATTTAATATATAATATGCTATAAATTTATATATTAATATATTATATATAATGTATTATAATGAAATTCAATTTCATAATAATAATAATAATAATATATAATTGGGTAAATTACAAAACCCCCCTTTACTATGATAGTGAGACAAAGACGCCATTCCCTTATCCTTTCCTTAAAAAAGACAGTAATAATATTTTTTAATTCCCATACTACCCTTACCCTTCTAATAACTATTCGGACAAGAAAAATGTTGTTCATCTTCCCCAACATCACCTCACGATACACGAACAACAACGGTGATCCCTAATGTACGAAACATACTGCATATGACCTCACGATACATTGCTGGTATTTCATCAAAATTCACGGGCTTTCTCGGTTCTGATTGGCAAAGTTCTTTTACAAAAAGTCTTTAATGGGAGTCGAACCAATGCACAGTATTTACGATAAAATATACCTCCTTCGAGGGTATCATACAATGGATTGCTGACGCGGAATTAGCAGGCTCCCGCGCCGTATCAAAACCTGACGTCAAACGGCCAGAACTGTAATGAACGAAGCTTGGATTCCATATTTCCATCCAAAGTCCTGAAATCAGAGAGAGAGAGAGAGAATCGGTTAACAAGCAGGCAACACCTTGATTACTTAAAAAGGATTCATTGTTGTTATTATTTTATGATGATTGATGACGATGATGTGCAGGAAGGTAGAAACACAGAAACCCTGGTTGTCGCTACCATCATCCAGTTCTCAAATAAATGATTGCATGAAATGAATGCATAAAGTTTCCTCTGAATCAAGCAACCTGAGTTATCGATTTGGAGTTAATGGGTTATGAAAAATGGAAGAAAAAGAAGTGAGAAGCTCTTCAACTTCGACGCATTATCAATCATGGCAGAACCCTTCCACATCTTCACCCTCTGAATCAAGCTCTCATTCCTCCTACTAGTCAGGCTATCCACTGAACAGAATACAGAGCATACTACATTTCACCCAAAAAATAACAAAAATGAGAAGAATGCAAACGGAGATATGAAATGACCGAGTAATGAATACCACTTTAATTTAATTTAAGTTAAATATCCATAATGATGAAATGAGGATTTTGAAAATCTTGGGAGAATCAAACTTTGGCGACTTCTTCAATCATTTTCTTCAAATCCGATTGGTTTTTCCAAGCCCGTTCACCATATCTCCGAATAAAAGGAAGAAAATAGGCATGGCAGAGCCATGAACCATAGCTCCTATGCTTCCCGCTATCATCAGAACCCAATCATATTTGTCCGCAAATGAGAAGAACTGGTAAAAGGGAAGGTTTTGTTCCTTTTTCTTCTCAGCCTCTGGCAAGCTTTTACCTTCTGTAGTTTCTGCCATTGGAGCCGCAACCGAAGGCTTCTCTAATTTTTACCTGTAGAAAGGAAACAATGTAAAGGGTGAGCAAACTTAGGAGCCTCAGAACAACCTCGATGCCGTATTGACAGTGGAAAGGAAACATAATTGGAGTTGGTGTTTTACTTGGATTATCAGCAACAAATCGGATCACTGTCCATCCATTCACTATAACTGCAAAAATATTCCTCATTGGTGGATCGACAAGATTGAATTTAGCCATGTCAGTTTGCAGATCGAAATTCCCAAAGCCCTATGCAACGATGTAGAAATCATATCCATGGATATGAATTGGGTGGTTCTCGGCTGAAAAGATACCTGTACCTTGTAATACAAGTTCATCGTCTTCAACCTTGAGACAAAGAGGAGAGCGACAAGGCATGGACCGCGTGGAAGAAGAAAGAGGAGAGAAAGGGGAAGGGGAAGAAGAGAGATAAGGGGATAGAAGGAGAGAGGAGGGAGAGAGAGAAATGTGAAGGAATATGAGGATTTCCGCCACTGCTGTTTGTGTACAGTGAGGCCGGGGAAGCTCGTCGGAATAGTTATTACAAAAATAGTATGGGAATTAAAAATATTGTAACTACTTCTTTGGATGAAAGGCCACAATACAAGGGGATCTTTATCGCAAAACAAAGTTCAGGGTCTTTGTCACAGACCCCTACTAAGGGGGTCTTTGTAATTTATCCTAATCCTATATAATATTATATATATGTTAATTAAAACTCGAAAACCTGATTTGAAATAAAATTAGATTTATTGTAATTCTGTTTCCGTTCGGTTTTCATTTTTTTATCGCCATTGAAACAAAAATCTGATTGAAATGAAATCAGAAACCAGATGATCATCTACGGCTACGCTACAATCTCTACAGCTTTGAAAGGTTCAATAGAAGAGAGAGTATCCACCGTTGATTGACTTTGTTTTACGATCTTATGGTATCGTAGTATACTGGCTCTTTGACTTGAGAGTGAGTATCGATTGGGGAAAAAAACAACGACACGAAAAATGCCGAGAAGAACCCACACAGACACAATACACGAAAAAAACCATTCTTATTTCTTACCTTCTTTTTTAGTTTTTTTACCCTCTACCCCCATATATTTTTTTCTTCTCCACTAGAGAGAGAGAGAGAATCGCCGGGAGTCATTCTGATCTTCTTTGGCCTGATAATCATTCGGTGCGAGTTGTTTCCTCTCCCGTATTCTTCATCTCCCTTTTATTTATGTTTCTGGAGAGGCATGGAGGGAGAGAATAAGCCATTGGACATCGACTGGAAAAAGGTTTTGCCGGTCGGAGACGACGACCCTCCGCCGGACCTGGTGGTGATCAGTGGGGAGTCACAAAACCAGAAGGACGAAGTCGAATCGATTCCCGATTATCAACTCAATGACAAGATTAAGAGAGCACAGAAAAACATCGGAGAACTCTCCTCCAAGCTCCCTGACAACGGCGCTAAGCTTCGAGCTAACCTAAAGCGCCTCGAAGAGGAGAGAGAGCGCAGGAGACTCCTCAGACTGAAAAAGGTCCTATTACGCTATCCTGTCCTTCTGCTATCCATCCCACTGCTTTTATGTGTCAGCCGAGTGAATTTGCTTTTTCTTCCTGTTCATGCAGTAACAATGACATGCGATGAAAATTTAGTTTATGAGCTTTTGCATATTTCTCCGGTGTTGCTTTCTTTTGCTGTATTTGTGGACTCGAAGAATCATTATGCATCGATTATATAATTATTTATTTCTCTCCTATGTGTTTTAGATCTCGAGTTTTGTAAATCCGCACGAAGAGCCAGTGCGACCAATTCCTGCATTTATTTGGTCAAGTCGTGCATTTGGTTACTCCGCCTCAATCTGTCGTGACACGGGCAGTCTTAATATCAGAAGGCTTCATTAAAGCTTAAACTACTGATTTGTTTCTTTGGTTTATTTGGCGCAAAACGTCTGTTTGGTATACCTTAAGAGGGAGAACCAAGGAGGAATGCTGGATTGCTTGTTAGGTGTATTTGAACCCCCTCATTATTGTTTAATTTAAGATGTGAAGTCTTGACACCCGGTCTAAATCTCTGTTGCAATTAACTCTAGTTATAGTTTAGTGCAGATTTTTGCGTGGCATGATAATAATATTAGCAATCCCTTGAGATGTAGGCAGGTGTCTTAATCCCCATATTTGCTAACATTTTCTGATATCCTGTTACATATAAAATGTTTGAGACTCTGAGTTTGATGGCTGGTTGATGGTATGTAAAATGAGCCATGTATGCTATTACTTTCGTTGTATGAACAAAATGGATGCTTTAGGTAACCAGATCATTTTACCAAATTCTCTGGCACATTGGTTTTGGAGGTTAGACGATTTTAAATGAGCTTTGCATTTACTATTTTTGCAATGTTGTCAAGATGATATGCTTATAAAAAAAAGCAAAGAACTTAGTAATTTGTGTAAGAAACAAGCATCTCATATTCATGCAAAAAAACAAAGGACTAGGCATAACCAACTGAACAAGGCATATCATAAGATGGGCTGACAACTTTACCATATTTTATGCGAGTAATATATGATACATTATATAAAGCATATATGAGCTCTAGCCAATTTTTAGGGCTCTTCTCACTCCTATTCACTCTTCTTTTTGGCCTTTTTTATATTTTATTCTGCTCGAAATCATTTTTTTCCCTAACTGTCATGCCCCCTCTATATATCACCTTTTTCTTTATATAAAGTAAGTTAATCATGAAATGTATAATTTTAACTTCAAGTTTACTAAGAAGTGCTTAACAAAAAGAAAAGTAAAAATGTAATACATAAAGGAAAACTTGATATGACCACTTTGATTGCCTATATACCTTATTATTACGCATTGCCTTATTATTTGGGTAACTTCCTTGGGTGCCTTGCCTAGGTGATGGGGTATAAAAGTAATTGCAGTGCTACAACTATAGATGTTTAATGTATTTATCTAAAGTAAGAAAGAACAATAATGGAAAATAAGAGGAGAATGGAGTAATGGACAGGGTGCCAACTGGCTCAGTTGATAAAGGTCTTTGGCTGGTTGTGGCGGAGGCTTGGGATCAAATCCTACTTTCACTAGGGTTGGGGGATGGACTACCCCCTGCTGTGCAAATTCATGAAGTAAATAAAAAAGAGAGTGAGGGAGAGGGAGGGAGGGAGGTTTTTTTTATTGGGTTAGTTGTGTGATATTCTACTTAAAACAACTACTTGCACACATAACTGAAGGAAGAAAATTTAGAAACTTACACCGTGTGATAGGAAAAAATTTTATAATGTTACGTGGCAATGGGAAGAACAAATGTTATTAGAGAGAGAAGGGATTTTCATCATGTACTTTGGGGAAACAGTAAGTAACTATACAATTCCATTATCATCATCTTACTTTGTGAACCATCTGGCCCATTTTACATCTCCTTTTTTTCTCCTTCATGTTGTTGCTTCAGAATGATATGTGTGTCTATGTTTATGTGCTTTAAATTCACGTGCATTTCCTTATAGGCTTTACAACATGCCAACATTAGATGCTTACTGTAGTTCCTGGAATTACATTGGTCAGGATGCTGATGAGTGCGAAATGGTAATGCAGTTACAGAGCTCACGTTTATCTGGTGAGTCATTCTCTTTAGCTTGATGCTAGGACACAAAATCTCTGTTTTATCTTATTTGGTCCTTTCTATTAATTATTTATATTGTCCCTTGTTTTTGTTGAGCTTAAAAGAAGTTACATTATTAGATGGGATTCTATTTTCCTTTTTCAGACTGCATATGGGTCAGCTGCATCAATCATATTTTGCCATTCCATTCTGTTCAGTGCCATATCCATTGTTAAATTATGGGTGCTTAAATCATTTCTTACTACTTTTGTCCAAGTATACTCAAATAGTTGAATTTTTATAATCATGATTCCAAAATCCAACCATGTGGAATCCCCTACAATTTGTATTATGATATCCTGATTATTCTGCCAAATCTACTGCCCAAGGTTCAGGCTATATTTAGGACTTGATTCCAGAATCTGCATGTAGAATCTGAACAAAATGAATTGGGTTCTCACTAAGACTTGATATTTGATGGAATCTGGATTTTATAATGTTATTTGAAGAGTTAAAGTTTTATATTTATAATCACTAAAGTTTCAACTTTTAAGCCACCTTCAGTTTTGCCATGCTTTTTTTTTTGTCATGGAAAATGTCCTTGAAACTTCCATACATATCATTTTTTTTTGAAAAGGTAAGATAAATTTATCAAATCAAACTAATAAAAGTACAAAACAGAACCTGCCAACAACAAGGCAGGCCTGAGAAACCCCATTACAAGCACCAAATTGACTGATTTCTCAGTAACTGAGTTACATTTATGTGTCTGATTTCTGGGGTGACTTAAACCCAAGAGATCAGTTTACCAACAGCCATCTGAACTATTTCCTCGGGCCCTCGCACTCTTTGTTTAAAAGTTCTGTTATTTCTCTCAGACCAAATAGCCCAAATCACTGCTGCCGGGATGGAAATCCAAGCCAATTTCCCTCTTTTCTTCAAATTACTGATCTTCCAACTACAGAGCAACTCCTTAACCGATTTAGGCATGACTCAACATATCCTCACAGCCTTCAAGAAGTGATACCACACCTGGGCAGCAAATGGGCAATGAATGCAGAGATGATCCGTAGACTCGAAATGATCATCACAAAGGACACAAGACTTATCTGGGATTTGCAATCCTCTTCTTTCAAGGTTGGTTCTGGACAAACATTTGTTTAAGGCCATTGTCTTGACAAGGACATTAACTTTTGATGGGCAAACTGAATTCCAAACCTGCTCAGCAGGGAAGTCCCCCACTGCCACTCTACTACGGAGTCTACTGGCCATAGATTTTACTGAGAAAATACCCTCCTTTGGACCAGACCCAATTTCACTGATCATCCTAATTGTAGTCAATGTTTTGAACTTGCAAAGTTTCCGACAGCCTTGTAGCTTGTTGAACTTCCCAATAAAAAAAGACCTCTTCTGAACTGAGGAACCCATGTCACCTCATTGCCCAAAACTGTGTATACTTCAGCCACCGAAGCATTCTGGTTGGAGGCACATTGGTAGATAAGAGGAAACTCTTCAGCCAAGGTATGGTTCAGACACCAATGATCTTTCCAGAATTTGATCCTAACCCCTTTACTGACTTTAAGACTGATTCCCCCATCAAACAAGGGGAAAACCTTCATGATACTTTTCCATTAAAGAATATCCCCAGTTAGGAGGGGGGGGGGGTTCTGTTGTTCTAGTTCTCCAGTTACCCCATTCAACCCCAAATTTAGAAGCAATTAGGCTTCTCCATCAAGCTTCCTTTTTGGTGGCAAATCTTCAGATCCATTTACAAAGCAGTGCCGAATTTGTCACCTTAATCCTTCTCAAGCCTAGGCCCCCTTGCTCTTTAGGGAGGCAGATTTGGTTCCAGTTCACAAGGTGGATTTTCTTTTCTTCCTCCCAACCCCTCTATAAGAAGTTTTTTTGTAGAGCCTCTATTTTCCTAGCCACTTTATTTGGAATAGGAAAAAAGGGAAAGAAAATAGGTTGGAAGGTTGGAGAGGGTACTATTGATAAAAAAAAAGGTTGGAGAGGGTACTTTTAGAATGGTCACTCTACCTCCAAAGGTAAGGTACTTTGCCTTCCATGAGGACAATTTCTTTTCCAATCTTTCAATTATTGGATCCCAAATGGCAGAAGAGGAGCATTTAGCCCCCCATGGAAGGCCCAGATACTTCACTGGAAGCTGATCCACTTGATTAGCCATAATATTAGCACATTCTTCCAGGTTAGGGACCTCACCCACTGGGATATTCAACTTTTATTAAGGTTGACTTTCAAACCAGTTACTACTTCAAACCAGCTGAGGATCCTAAGAAGATTTTCCAGCTGTTCATGAGAGGCATCAATAAAGCATAAGGTATCATTTGCAAACTGAAGGATATTCACTTTTTCGCCCCTTGGGGAAATTGCAAACCCTTCCCACAACCCCGAGTCTGCTGCCTTTTGACTAAAGAGAGTTAGAATTTCAGCAATACAAATAAAGAGAAGGGGAGATGGGGGGTCTCCCTGCCTTAACCCTCTAGAACTGTCAAATAAGCTTGTTGATTGGCCGTTGATCAGAATGGAGAATTTGGGGGAGGATACACAAACTTTCATCCAATTTCTCCACTTTTGCCCAAAATTCATTTTTTCTAGAACTCTATTTAAACAACTCCAATTGACATGATCATAAGCTTTTTCTATATCCAATTTATACACCAGACCTGGAATCCCCTCTCTTTTCCTAGAGTCTAACAATTCATTTGCAAATAAGCACTGAATTAATCATTTGCCTACCCAACACAAAGGCACTTGGGTTTTTCGAGATCACACTATCCAACACCCTTTTCATCCTCTCAACTAAGACCTTGGCCAAAATCTTGTAAAAGCTGTTTAGAAGGCTAATTGGTCTAAAATCTTTTACATGCACAGCCCCTTCAATCTTAGGAATGAGAGTTATAAATACATTATTCAGACTCTTTTGAAGAGAGGCATTTGAGTGGAAGGTCTGAAAAGCATTAAGAATGTCTTGCTTCACAGAATCCCAACACTTGACTAAAACAAGTTGGAGAACCCATCAGGCCCAAGGGATTTCTCATTGTCCAAGTTGCTGATTGCCATCTTAATCTCTTCCTTAGAAAAAGGTTTTTCAATGAGATTTCTTTGATCCTCACTTAATCTTTTAAAAGGAAGAGTTATGGGGAAGGGTCTGCATTTCCAATTCTCCTTATAAAGATTTTTATAAAAAGAAGTTTGCAATTACCTTGATTTCTGCAACCGATTCACCCACCTTATCATCCCAAATAAGCTTGCTGATTGTGGAAATTTTGTTTTTTGCATTTGCTAGCTTATGGAAGTAATGAGTGTTCCTATCCCCAGCTTTCAGCCATTCTAATTTTGCTCCCTGTCTCCATTTTAGTTCTTCCTTGACTGCTAATTTGTCAAAAACTACCTATGCTTGAATTCTTTTCAATTTTAATTCTTCTGAAATTGGGCCTGCTTCCTCTGCTCTATCAATTTCATCAATAAGACCAAGACAAGCCCTCTTCTCTGTTTCTGCATTCAAATTATTTTCTATTTTCCAGATTTTTAACTTTTCTTTAACTGCCCCCAACTTTTTAGCTAAAACAAAAGAGATGGACCCTTCCACCTGCACTTCACACCAGAAAGATCGTAATAACAACAAGAAATCAGCCTCTTCAAACCATGTATTCTCGAACTTGAAAGGAGTTTTGATTTTGTTCCTATTTCCACATACCAGCTGAATTGGAGCGTGGTCTGAGACAGGTCTCGGTAGAATCACTTGCTTGAAATCAGGAAAGAGCTCATCCCAGTTTTCAGAAACCAGGAATCTATCAAGCATGACAAGAGTTGGATTATCCTGATTGTTGGTCCAAGTAAAACTTCCTCCCACTAGAAGTAGTTCTATGAGCTTCAAGTTGTTTACAAAATCAGCAAATAGACACATCCCCCTTGATCTCCTGCTTCTGATATTTTTTTCTTCAACTGACAGAGTGATTTTGAAATCCCCACCAATTACCCACGGATGAGAAAAAGAGCCTCTCATTGCTTCTAATTCTTCCAAAAAAGAGTATCTAAGATTTATTTCAGTAGGACCATACACATTGGTCACTTGAAAGATGCTTCCATTAGCTAATTCCATAATGAGAGAGATGGAAAAAGAACCCACCCTGTATGAAATCAGTCTACACATAGTTGAGTCCCAAAGGGTGGCCAAGACCCCAATATTACCCCTTGCCGATTTAGCTCTCCATCTCACCTGATCCTCCCCCCAAATACTCTGAACAATTCATGCTTCCAAAGGTTCCAACTTAGTCTCCTGAAGCATAAGAATCTGAACTTTTGCTTTTTTGACAACCTCACACACTATTAACCTCCTTCTTCCCGACCCCAACCCTCTAACGTTCCAAGATAAAATTTTCAAATCCATTAACAATTTTAAAAGATAGAAAGAAACCCAACCCCCTCCCTTTCTACTTCTTGCTTACTCTCACCCCCCTTGTAGTTTCCCGCCCTGTCATTTAAGCTCCAGTTTAATCTCATCATTTCCCTGTTCTTTTTTGAAGTAGTGCCCCCTTTTTTACAGCTAACTTTCCCCTTTCCATGAGAATTCTGTGCTTGATTCCCTCCAAAAATTTTGTTGTTTCTTCCTCCATCCCTTATAGTGAAACTCCCGAAAATTTCCCTAACCCCAGTAATTTTGAAGAAACCTAAGAGGAGGATGGAGAAGCCTTAGAAAACTTATCTTCCTGTGTCGCAACAACTACATCTTTTCCTTTGTTGACGGTGGATAAGATATTTCCATTTCATTGCAAAGAGTCTTTATGGATTGTGTTCGGATTAGTCGTCAAACTCTTCCCCTTCTTGCACAACATATTGGCTCAGCTTCTGAGATGAAGAATCAACCACCATAATTGGCTGTACCTCCATTGGCTCCTCTTCCACAGAATAATAGAGAGTTGATTTGGAGTTGATCTTGAGTCCTCAGAAGTTTGCCGCCGCTGTTGATAAGGGGAACGAGCTAAACCAGCGTTTTCCTCTGTGTTCTCCAAAGAGAAGGAGCCAAGGCCAGATCTTTGTTCAATCGGAGAAGAAAGAGAACCAAATCTTCTCGGGGGTTGGCTAAGCCACTGGGGCCCAAGAAAAGCTTGGTTGCTGTTGGTTTGTTCCCACCGAGGTGGTTTGGGTTCATTTATGGATTTCCTGGTTTTTGTTTTCTTCATTAACCCATTTCGGCTGGGAAGCTGAACCCAGTCATGCGGGTTTTGGGATTGGGTTTGCTCTAGAATGACCGAATGGGTTGGGGGGGTCTTCTACCGACCCCTGTCTTCTCTCCTCTGAAGTTCTCAGGCTGTCCTCCACTACCTTACCTCTTTGAAGCTCCTCTATGCATTCTTTAATTAAATTCTTTAATTGGTCCACCGCCAACACTCCCCTCTCATGTGAAAAGTTAAAAAATTGAATCTCCCCCTCTTTTGGGCTTCTCGAGACACCATCTCTTCCATCCATTTGTTTGAAGATCTGACGGTTTGTATTCCCCATCTCTTCATCTTCTTCATCCTCTCTTTCACTGGACTCCAGCTGCCGGGATCTCTGCCTCTTCCCCTGAAATGGTGTGGGAAGGCTAGTCGTCACTTCTCTTTCGTTTTCTTTTGAAGACAAACTCTCCTCCACGTCTTCAATAATAAGGGTTTTTGAATCCTCTCTTTCCCCTTGCTTTCAGAGGGTTCCATCTTCTAGCCGACAGGAGGACCTCCGGCCAGATTCTAACCGTGAATGGATGTAGTTGGAATACCCCATCAGACTTGCAAGGCCTTTTTTCCCCTTCTCTTTTCAGGTGGCGGATAAAAAGGGGAAGGACAATGTGGAGAGGACTAAGGGCTGCAGTATGTTGGACACTTTGGGAARAAAGAAACTCTAGGATATTCTTAGAAGCTCAGAGTGGAGCAGCAGATCTGAGGGCTATCATTCATATTAGGGTGGTACAGTGGCTGAAATCTTTGGAGCTTTTCACAGATTACACTGTGGATGGCATGTTGAGGAAGTGGGGTGAAATTGCAAATTGCACACAGACTAAGTCAATAATGAGTGTGGCTTGGACCCTTCCACCTAGTGGATTTGTGAAACTAAACTTTGATGGGTGTAGCAGGGGAAATCTGGGACAATCGGGGATTGGGGGTGTTTTTAGGGATGAAAATGGGGTCATTTCTGCTATTTCTCAGACCCAATTGGAGTGGGTGACTCCCTTAGAGTTGAGATCTTTGCAGTTATGGAAGGAGTACAGAAAGCTAAGGAGTTGAACATCAGGAAACTCTTAATTGAAGGGGATTCAGAGGTGGTGATAGGGTGGCTGATTAAAGATCACAATGGCTTATGGAAGTACAATAATGAGAGGAGGAATTTCAAGTGGCTGGTGCGGGAGATAGAAGTTAAGATTCTTTGGGTTAAAAGATCGGCTAATTTCCTAGTTGACGGTTTAGCTAAACAAGGGGCAGAAAGGGATTCACTTTTTGGGCTAAGCTGTAACTATAGTGTGTTTTCCTTCTTTTTTTCTTTTCTTGAGGTTCTTTGTTGCTCTTGGAAGATAAGCGTGTTTGGCTTCCTATTGTAAATCTTCTTTTGATGAGTTAATGAAAGTGTTGTTGATCAAAAAAAAAAAAAGATTCTAACCGTGAATAGAACCTCCCCAGCAACAACTTCCACATTGTTGGGGATGTTTTCACCACCACACACCTTCATCCTGACCCACTCACAGGTTTCAAGTTCCATCGGAGAATCGTTTGTTTCCAGAAATCCCCCACATCTATCCCCAATCGCCTTGACCACACTTGGACACCAGAGGATTAGGGGAAGGCCAAAAATCCTTACCCAGATTGGGTTGTCGTGGACAGAATCAGAGTCCGCTTCCGGGTAGAAGCATCCGGTACTTGCCCCCCACCAGTCCAGAAAAAGTTGATTTCTTCCCATCCACCACGGGCTGTTTCTAAGAATCCAGCCTGCATCATCCTTCGACGGAAGAATAAAGAGGAAAAGGTCATCCGCCATTTTCTTTACCTTCACACCTTCCACCTCCCTCCATACTCTTTTCGCCTAGTCCCCTACTTCTCTCACCCCTACTCCCCACCGGAATCTCCCCACAAGGCAGCCTCTTAGGAATTCTCTTCTCGCATATACCCCTCGTTGGTCAGTAAACACGACCACGTTGTCATCACACTGCTTCAGCTCTGCTGCACCATACTCCGGCCACACACCAGCTGCTGCTGCTTTGCTATAGGTAAAATTTTTCCTCGTTCTTGCATCCGAACCTCCCCGAATATACCAGTTCTCTGACTCCTATCTCCTTCTCCCCACAGAGGTTTTCTTTGGAATTTCTCTTCGAAACATTTGGGTTCTCCACCGAATCAGCCTCCACTTTCTCCGACCTTAAGCCACCATCATCTCCGACCTATTTCTTTGAATAGCTTATTTGGAGTGTTTTACAAATAGCTGAATCTTCAATTCAACCCTCCGAAACGGGGTTTTATCAGTAACTGTGAGTTCTTTTTGGGAATGCGGATAAGATCTGCTGTTCCCATTTTCAGTAATCAACTTGCCCCTGCCTCTGAGCAAATTGGGAACACATTTACACAATGAATCAGCATTAACAGAATTACCAGCTACTGAAGAGCCTATGTTCTTTTTACCATTCTTCCGCATTGTCATTCTGTGAGGATTATCAGGAACATCAATTATCTGATCAACGTCCAAATCCTCCATATTTTGCTTCTGTAAATTAAAAATCTCAAAAAAAAGAGCAACTATCAATCGACATTGACAAAAATGGTTGAACATAGGGTTTTCTTTCTTGTTTTTGTTGTAGGAGTTCACTTTTTTCTTCTTTTAATCTTCACATCCCTCCTTGTTGTGGTTTTGGGTTTTTTGCTAGATTTGTTTTTTTTTTTTTTTTTGCAATTTTCTACTTGTTTGATATCTTGTTTAAGTTTGTTTTCCTATTGTTACTGAGCAAGTTTTACTCTTGGGGGATTTTCCCATTCTTTTCTTTTCATTTTTCATAAAATTACTAAACTTGCTAAAAAAAAACCAAATTATGACTAGCTGAGTCTTAAAAGGTTCTTAGAGGGACTTAACCAGGGCAAAAGAAAGTTTGCTCCTCCTGTCCAGTCATTAAATCTAGAATCCAACAGCTGTAACAAGAGACTAAACCCCTGAGGCTGTGTTAAGGAAGTCCAAATCTGCTCCTCACACTGACCTCACAGCACATCCCAGCTGCACATTGGGAACATCTCCTGTACTTGTATGCTCTGTTATTCATGGGGAAGTGTTCCCAATGCACAGTGGGATGTGCTCTGGGGTTGGTGTGAGGAGTAAATCCTGATTTGTGTTGAGGTTAGAAATTCCTTTAGAACTTTCACTCAACTTTCTGTTTCTCTCTTGTTTTCTGTCAAACCAAACATAGCCTAAGGCTTGAATGGATTAGGGAGGAAAAATAGGGGAAATGCCTCTCCTCTCTCCCTTTCCCCTCTTGAACCGCATAATTACTCTGTCCTTTACATAAGGGTTAGTTAAGCCATTACTTGAAAAAAGTTACCCTTGCTCAAAAATAAGGGTTAAACTCAAACCATTAGAAATAGAAAAAAGTTAAACAGTTGATTTTTTTTCTTATGATATTGTTTTCTGTTTGGTTTTGCTAGTGTTTAATGGATGTTACATAGGGTTAGTTGTGTGATTCATGACCATGAAGCATGCATTCCTTAACATACATTTTAAGCAATCACCCCCAGTATTTAATTTATAAACTGTGTTTTAATGATGAGACGTGTTAGGGGACTTGTTTCTATGTATTCCTAACTTCTAATTTCTGATGTTTTTTTGGGGGTTTGTAGGTGCTGACAGTGGTTTGAGCCGAGATGCTCCATCATCTCAAGCATGTCCACAATCCTCATTTTCATCTTTATTTGTGGAAAAACTTGATGGAAAGGTATACATGGTTTGACTTTTTATTTGATGTGCATGGTTTGTTGGTGTTTGAATTGTGCAAATATGCTCATATTTTTTCGCTCTATTTCTTTTCTGGTGCCATCAGCCAGATGGTACTAGTCACACCACAGATAAAGCGTTTGATAATGAGTTATCCATTTTGCACTGTGGAAACAAAAAAAATACAAGATCAAATGGACATTTCTCACATAAGGAAAAGAATGGATCGAGAATGTCTATAAGACAATCACCTTTTAGATGCTCTGGCAGTTACAATCTTGATAAAGAAAAGGTTGAACTCACCAATGGTGATAACAGGGGCATTGCTTCCGGTCCTTTTCTCCACAGCAAAAGTTTGTCCAGCCATCTCTCTAAAAAGTATGCATTTTGGATTTCTAGTGCAACTATCTTTTTCTATCTCTATGCTTGCATGATGTTCCTGGTGTGACTGCAGATATTTGAACTGTACACCCTTTATTCAAGAAAATCTGTGTCAATAATTGTAATAAATATGCCCGAGCTTTACTTTCTGGTAATGTGTTTGTTCAGATTCTGTGCTCATGCATTATCCTTGTCAATGGTCTTTTGCTCTGCTCCTGAGGAATCCACAGGGTCCAATCTCATACAAGATTCTCAGTATGTTTTTATCCTTGTTGCAGTTTAAACTTGGATTATACCTGCTTGCCTTGGAGAAGCCTATAGACACAAGCAGATTCTTGTTAGTTGCAGGCATTCTCTTGAAACGTTTGCTTCTTTTGACTTTTGTGAACAATTTCACATATCATTGCTATGTGAATTGCTTAGATGGTGAAAAAAAATGTTGTGTTTGCTCAAAATCTCAAATGATGGAAAAAAGTTTCTTCTGACCTGTTTTTGGCATTCTAAAATATACATTCCTTCATAACTTGAAGCATGTGTGGGTGCTGGTGCCAAACCCAGTTATGGATTTTGTGGGCATGATTTTAAGAAACTTTATATGCAGTGAAACCATTGCTAAGTTGGGCATTGGTGGCCGGCGTGTTCCCATCAGAGAGCTGGTAGCCCAGGAATAAGAAGCCCCAAGGACTGGGTTCATCAAGACGAGACATGCAAAGGACAAATAACAGGAAAGGTACAATCCCACCCATCCTATGAAAAGAAAGAGTTATGACCTACAGTCGTCAAGCTTTCATGGACAGGAGCAATGAGTGAGCTGTCATCACTGCTTTTCTAGGACTGGGTTCATCAAGATGTTTTTATACTTTTTAGAATTATGAAGCAACATTTTATGAAGAAAAGAAAGGAAGCACAATACAAATCACAATCCTACCCAAGTATAGTAAGAGACTATGCAAAGGACAATTGACACCGCAGGGAAGAAACAATCCCACTATATCTCCTTAAATAAAGAATCCTAAGAAACGAAAGACTTGTGACCTACACCTGCCAAGCTTTTGTGGACAGGAGCCATGGGTGAGCTGTAGACTCACCACTGCCTTTCTAGGGACTGCTACCCCCTGTGCTGATAGAGAGACTAAATGGGCAATAAAAAAACAAGTGGCCTGTTGATTCAATGGAAGGTAAAGTAAAGGGCCCAGATTATATTCAGGGATGGACAGTAAAGTGATAGAGAAGCACGATCAGTGGTGCTTCAATGAACCTGTTCAGGTAGGTTCTAAAATTAGTGGATTCCCTTACTGATGAGGTTAGATGGGAAATGCTTGGGTAGGGTTAATCTGTTCTGGGAATCCATAAGGAGATAACATTTGTACTTGGTATTGTTGACATATTGTGATGGTCATTGTTCTACATTGCTTGGTCCCCCAAAGTACACTGAAGTTTGGGGGTGTACTCTCTCTCTCTCTCTACTTTCATTCTAATAAACTCTCTTTATGTTACTGGTAGAAAATATTCACAGGATTTTTTCTGTGATGGTATATTGCTGCACTTGAATTTAAGTTCTTGATTGCTGGCATCATCAACTGTTTTGTTCTATCTTTTTAAATTAGCCACTCCCAGTATTTGCTTTGTTCTATATACTGGTTTTCTAGATGATGGAAGAATGCTGAAAAGCATGACATATGGAGTTATGTGATCAGGGGTTTCAATAATCTGGAAGTGTCATAACCAGCCAGCATTAGCATTTAATTCAATTTTGCTTAAACATTTGGATTATTATTATTATTATTTTTTTGATTCTCAAAATAGAGATGATCATTTTAGGCCCTTTAATTTGCTAATTGCAATATATTTATTTATATGGGTATATTAGTGGCCTACCTGTATATATAGGTATCCTCTCATACATGTTTGACCATTGTTCCCATTCTTCCAGTGGACTGGGCCATAGTTATAGTTGCACCTTTCTTGTACAGAGTTCTCTAGCTTAGTTTTTTTCCCCTACTTCTATATATCATTTGGTTCATATGTAATGGCGTTTTTATAAAATATTTTTGATATCCATTTAGTTATATATCATTTGAACATGTAATTTCATGTCAGGGTCCATCTTTCTCATGGATTATGTAGGGTGTTTTGGTGCTATACTGCACTGGTTCATTCATTCTTAACCTGAATAGATGCTTTCTGATGCTAAAGTTGTAACTTTTTGCCAGGAGGAATGCTTCTCAAGTTCAGTCACCACTCAATTCAAGAACTAGAAAGGTAAACATCTTCCAAACAATTTTTTTTTTTGATCAGCAAGATAAAATTTCTTTATTAATGTCTGAGATTAGATACAAGTGTTTTAGCTACTCAGTAACCCAGAATACATCAGAATACAGCTTGCCCCCAATGCTTAGGTTTGTTAGCTTCCTCTTTTACCACTAACAGATTACAACATTGCCCAAAATAAAATAGATCTATCAGCTCCCTGTTTTGCTAGGACAATTGCCAACACATTCGCTGTCCTTCTAACCCAGCCAAAATTAGTGTTCAAGCTCTGCAAGAAAGTCAATTTCCCTAGATGCAAATTTGTATTTCCAAGGGGCTGAGTTGGTTTTCTTAGCCCAAGAAATAACCAATAAGGAGTCTCCTTCTACTTCCAGCTTTCTAATTCCTAGCTGTACTACTAGTTTTAGTCCTTGTAATAGAACCATTGTCTTAGCCTTAACCAAGTCTCTGAATCCAACTGGTCCTGAGAGCCACTACAACTCCTTGATGGTTTCTAAAGACTCCCCCTATACCTGCCCTTCCTGGATTGCCAAAGGAGCTGCCGTCAAAGTTTAACTTTAGTTTATTTGGCTTCGGAGGTTTCCATGCCAAAGGAGCCATTATCTTCCAAACATTGTTTCATTGATAAAACCATTTTATATCATTCTTATTGAATTTTCTGTGCCTGGTTTTGATATAGATATCATGTTTCTTCCATTTTTGGCCTACCAAAATTACTGCTTCTTCCATTTTGCCTTTATGCAATGGCTCATGTTGGTGTACTTTGGTTTTTTCAATGCAATACTACTAAACATTTTTTTTGGATCAATAACTCTGAAAAGATTTCATTACAATGCTACTAACATTTTCCCAACCACCCATGAAATGTGAACTTATTTTACAAGTCCATGAATCTAAGCTGGACCCCTCCCAGATCATTCAATTTATTTATTTATATTTTTAAGCTTGGTTGGTAAAAGGATTGAACAGAAGACCAGCAGCAGTTGTGTGGTCAGTCTGGATGGAAAGAAATAACAAAATTTTTGAGAGCAAAGCTTTGCAGGAGGAGGAAATCCTAAAGAAGGTGGAGTTAATGTTATAATCATGAAATAAATGGAGAGGTGATTGGAGAATCATAGGAAACCTAGAGAAATGACAGGTACGGGTGAGAAGGACTTTACAAAAGTTGGAAGATGGAGGTTGGAGGCTTTGATTGAAGCGAAGAGTTTCAAGTTTGAAGAAGGTAAAGGTGTCTTGAAGATCAGAGAGAGTAACAGGGCGACAATATTGGCGACGAAGGAGATTATAGCATGGGTGAAAGGTTTTGTTGATGGTGCTATTAACTCATGTAAGGAGGAAGGCTGGAAAAACTCTATGTCAGTTCCTGGTAAGACCTTTGCAATTGAACTGAAAAGGAACAACAAAGGTTGGTTCATAACTGTGACTGAGTTTTTTGGTAGAAATGGAGAACAAATGGTCTATGTACCGAAAGGAAAAAGGCAGAGAGGGTGGATGGCTTTTGTGAAGGAATTGCAAGCTTTCCTTGTTGCCTCGACTAGAAAGAAGACAGAGGAAGTGAAGGCATCTAGTCAGAAGTCCAAGGGTTAAGGCAGGAAGACCTAGGAGGAGGGAGGTACGGTTGAGACTACTGGGAGTGTTAACACACAAGGCTCTGGGTCTCCTGGCTTGGTGGTTGTATGCTCTTAAAATCACCAGAGAATATGGGTAGGATCAGGGACGGATGAATGGAAAAAAGAATGGTCTTAGTGGCTGATAAGGGAGTCAAAGACTGGAAGGAAGTATTGAATGCAGTTGCAGGGGAGTTAGGTATTGGCAATGAAGCAATGTTAATCCCGTTTACAGAAAATAAGGCCGTTCTTGATGTAGGTGACCAGGAGTTAAGCTTCAAAGCAGTGGCTGTGGATGGAGTCCTTATATAGGTCCAGAACTGGAGCCCAAGCTGTAATGAAGTTGCAGTCCAAGATGGGTGCACCCAACTGAAGCTTATTGGCCTTCCTTTCAACCTCTGGCGGGATATTAGGTACCCATAAGACATTCACTTGGTCAAATCTCCAAGCAAGTCCCATCTGCTCCAAGCTGGATAGGGAAGTTCTCTCTGGATTGGGAAGAACATTGGGGGAATTTAGATTCTAGAGTTCTTCCTAGATTGACCTCTAACAACTGGCCTATTGTGATCTGCAAGGAGCAGAGGAGTGGAGGACCTTCCCCATTTAGGTTTGAAAATATGTGGTTACTCCATCCTGGGTTCACTAAAAGGGTAAGGGAGTGGTGGAGTGAGTGTAACCTAGTGGTGCAATGGGAAGGGATGAGATTCCTTAAAAAATTACAATTTTTGAAAGCAAATATCAAGGAATGGAATCAATTGGAGTTTGGAAGGATTGAAGAAAGAAAGAGAACTTTGACGGACCAAATTGTGAACTTAGATGTGAAGGAAGAGAGGGGAGAGTTTGGAGAGGCAAGCAAGGAGCAAAGAAGAGGTTTGAGAAGACAGTTAGAGGACTGCCTACATAAGGAGGAAATAAGCTTGAGTAAAAAATCTAGATGTAAATGGCTGCAAGAGGGGGATAGGAATACCAGGTTCTTTCATTCTCTAGCTAATGGAAGGAGAAGGAGAAATTTTATTTCCAAACTGGAGGTAGATGGAGTTAAGTTGACACAACAAGATGAGATTTCGGGGGCCTTTGTAGGACATTTTAAATCTATTTTAAGGAGGCCTATGAGTAGGAGGGTGTGGTTGGAAGGTTTGGACTGGCCAGATGTGGGGGTTGATAATAGAAGATTGGAAAGAAGGTTTGAGTTGGAAGAAATTAAGGAGGTTGTTTTCTCTATGGATAGAACAAAAGCTCCAGGTCCAGATGGTTTCACAATGGCTTTTTACCAAGATTGCTGGGATACTTTGAAAGATGATCTGTTGGTGGTGTTTGAGGAATTTCATAGGAGAGGAGTGGTTAACCCGGTGTGAATTCCACTTTTTTAGTTGTGGTTCCGAAAAAGAAAGATGCATCCCACCCGAAGGACTTTAGGCCAATCAGTTTGGTAAATAGTTTGTATAAGATCCTTGCTAAGTTGCTGTCTCTGAGATTGAAGGAAGTATTGCTAGATATCATTACACCAAATCAAGGAGACTTTGTGAGTGGAAGGCAAATTACCAACCGAATCCTAATTGCTAATGAGAGTGTTGAGAATTTCAGAAAGGATGGGAAGAAGGGAGTGGTATGTAAGCAAGATCTGGAAAAGGCTTATGATCTAGTAGATTGGGATTTCTTGAGGAGAGTTATAACCAAATTTGGATTTGGGGATAGATGGTGCAAATGGATTATGGGATGTGTTTGGAATTGTCATTATTCTATACTAGTGAATGGGGCAGTGGTTGGTTTCTTTCCAACCATTAGGAGCATAAGACAAGGGGATCCCCTATCTCCCTTCTTGTTCACATTGATTGCTGATGTTTTGGGGAGATTGATTCACAGAGTTGACTCTAGGGGTCTCATTAGAGGATGAAAAGTTGGAAGGGAGGAATCCCCCCTCACCCACCTACAGTTTGCAGATGACACGATTTTGTTCTGTGAAGGAGGAAACTTGGGGTATATTAGGAACATAAGATTGGTGATACTACTTTTTGAACGAATGTCAAATTTGAAGGTGAACTTTGAGAAAAGTTGTGTAGTGGGTGTGAATTTGGAGGAGGGAGAAATTAGTGAGAGTGCAGAAGTGCTAGGGTGTGAGGTCTCAGGATGGCCATTGAAATACTTAGGATTGCCATTGGGTGACAATCAAAAGAGGGAGAGTTTCTGGAATCCGGTGGTGGAAAGATTTGAGAAGAGACTTGTATCTTGGAAAAAGAATTATCTTTCTCTTGGAGGTAGGACAACATTGATTAAGGCTACTAACAAATTTACCCATCTATTTCCTTTCAGTGTTCAAAATCCTAGTAAAGGTTGCTAACAGACTGTAAAAGATGATGAGAAACTTCCTTTGGGAGCCGGGAGAGGAGAAGAGAGACCATAGGGTAAGCTGGAAGGTGGTGACAGGGAGTAAAAACAATGGTGGTTTAGGGCTTGGGAACATTGGAGAAAGGAATTTGGCATTCCTGGGGAAATGGTTGTGGAGATTCCCACTGGAGAAGGAGAAACTATGGGCCAAAATAGTGGTAAGCATACATGGGCTGGAGATAAACGGATGGGATGCTGGAATCCGGGCTAGGACCACAAGCACCTTGCCTTGGAAAGCCATTCATGACTTATTTACTTGTTTTTTCCCCTTTTATTAGGTATGATTTGAACTCAGGTAACTCAATAAAATTCTGGGAACAAACTTGGGTGGGGAATGTGCACCTCTAAAGGACCGGTTTCCTTCCTTTTATGCCCTTTTTGGTTTTAAAAATGAGCCAGTTTCCTCTTTCTTGACCCCTTCTTCTTCCATTTATGGGTTTGGTTGGAATTTGGGTCTGAGAAGGGCTGTGAGAGACTCAGACCTGACAGTATTTCGAGTCTCCTCCTTCTTCTTGATAATGTTTTCTTGGACCCTACTAAGGATGACTCTAGAATCTGGATCCCCACCCCTACTAGTTCTTTCTCCTGTGCCTCCTTCTTTAAAGTCCTAAGCCAACTCACCAATCCTGTAACCGCCCCTTTCCCTGTTAATGAGGTTTGGTGCAGGCCAATTCCTCCTAAGGTTGGTAGTTTTTGTTGGGAAGCCTTTTTGGAAAGAATCAACACTGGTGATCTGCTCCAAAAGAAGAGACCCAATACTTGTTTGTCCTCTCATTGGTGTGTTCTTTGTAAAGCTGATGGGGAGACCGGTTTTCATTTTCTGGTGTCTTGCCAATTTGCAAAGTCTATTTGGGAGTGGGCTTTCTCTCTTTTTAGGTGTACTTGGATTCCTCCATCAAATTTGCAAGGCCTTTTTGCTCCTTTTTTTAGGTGGTGTATGAAAAGGGGAAGGACTATGTGGAGAGGACTGAGGGCAGCAGTATGCTGGTCTTTATTTATTTTTGATAGATAACAGAAAGATTAAAAAGGAGGATACAACGGGAGGGAGGGGTAAAATCTCTTAACCTTCCCTAAAAGTTTACTTCATATTACAAAGCTGCCCAGAAAAGAAAAGCTCTTCCCACCTCTTGCTTAGCCAAAGAATCTGCCATGGAATTAACACACCTTTTAGTCCACTGAAACAGAACTTCCATTTTTTGAGTCAAATGTTTAATTTTCTTTTTATCATTTAAGTATTTCCACAAACTGAAGTCTTCTTTCTGCAGCCACCTAATAACCAGGCTCAAGGCACCTTCCACCACCAGTTTTCTGATATTCAGCTGCTGTGCTATTTTATTTCCTTCTAACACTGCCATTATTTCAGCCCTAAGAGAATCCCCCAACCAATAGGCCCCGAATACATTGCAATAATTTGGCCTTCTTCATCCCTAAAGCTCCACCTAAACCTGAAGGACTTGGGTTTTCTTCGTTGCTTCCATCAAAGTTCAACTTAGTGTAACCCAAGGGTGGAGGAACCCAAACTGGAGAAGGGGTAGATTTCAGGGGAGCTAACCAAGCCATTTCTTTCCAGTTCTTAATGATATCTCCTGCTGTGTAATCTTCAAAAAGCTGCAAGGTCTTAACCCAATGAGCCACCCTAATGGAAATTACTTCAATGATAGCTTCCTTATTTATTTCTTTTTTCAAGGAATATTCTTTGATTTCTTTCCTCCTACACTGTCCAACATATTGCTGCTCTTACACATCTCCACAGAAATTTACCTCAACAAGCTCTGCACACTTGGAGGAGAGGACCACCTGCAACCAAAGAGAGAACAAAACCAGCACCAGATTTCTGATACAAAAGGACAGGAAACCATTAAGTGATAGCAGCTCTCACCATTCTCCTTACATAGGATGCTGTCTTTATGGGAAGAAAGAAACTCCAGAATCTTCTCTGATGTAGAGAGAGGTGCTGAAGAGCTGAGGGCCCTGATCCACATAAGGGTTATTCAGTGGATGAAGTCCCTAGAGCTATCCACAGAATATACAGTGGATGACATGTTGAGGAAGTGGGGTGAGATTGCTAGCTGTACCCAGACTAAAGCAGGGATGAGTGTGCCTTGGACTCCCCCACCTATGGGTTTCATAAAACTAAACTTTGATGGAAGTAGCAAAGGGAACCCCAGACAATCAGGGATTGGGGGTGTCTTCAGGGATGAGAATGGGGTTGTTTCTGCCATGTTCTCAGGCCCAATTGGAGTGGGTGACTCTCTCAGAGCTGAGATCCACGCAGTTATGGAAGGTGTCCAGAAAGCTAGGGAGATGGGTATCAGAAAACTCATAATTGAAGGGACTTGAAGGTGGTGGTTGGGTGGCTGAACAAAGAAGATAGTGGTTTATGGAGTTATAGTAATTTGAAGAGGAAATTCAGATGGCTGGTTTGAGAAATGGAAGTTAAAATCAGTTGGGTAAAAAGATAAGCTAATTCTTTTGCTGATGGGTTAGCTAAACAAGGGGTGGACAGGGATGTCATGTTCTGGGCACAGATGTAATTTAATTTTCTTCTTTTTCTGGTTTCTCTCTCTCTTGTTTCCTCTCTTGGGGCTCATGATGTAGTTGGAAGATAAGAAAGTTTGTCTTCCTCTCTGTAATTTATTGTGATATTTAATGAATTGTGTTATTGATCAAAAAAAAAAAAAATCCTAAAGGTGGTAGGGGGAGTTTGTTCTTGGGCATTGGTGGATAAGGCTGTCATGCATGTACCTGTCCATTCTGTCTTAAATGGATATGGTCTCTTTTGAGTGTAAATGGGGAGCTTTCTTTTTCGTAAGGTTCTTTGTTTTTTGTTTTCTAGACATTGGGTGGTTCAATGTACAGTATCTCACTGTGTTTGGAGGGGTATATCCCTGTCAGTAGTTGAGCATGTGCTTTCTTTTTCAATTTAGTATAACACCTTTTCCCTTATTTAAAAAAAAACTTGGATTATCCACAAGGAGGGAAGGATCAAAGAAATCTTGCCTATGATATTGAACTGATGAGCTGAAGCTGCACTTCTCTAGTACAAAACTCACTTTGTGCTTTCAGAAAATGTCCTTTTATTTATTTGTTTATTAAGCTCCTTGTGTGTAGCTTGTTGTTCTTCGTAGCGTGTTGGATTTATAGATTTTTGTAGGGAAGAATTTTTTCCTAGTTTGAGCTTCCTGTTCTCTATGGATTTTGTGTTGTTTAGTTCTTTATCTGCATTAATTATGTCATGTGGATTGGTTTTTTTTTTTTTTTGATGAATAATAATAAGTTTATTGATTCAGAAGCAACTTTAGAGTGAGTTCATACATCATCCCAATGAGAGGCACGAGCTGCAGCCCCTCCTTGAATCTTACAAGTAAACTAGGAAGGAAAAACAAGAATCACAACTGAGCCCAAAATAATTCTTCCCTATTTACCCCTTGCTTAGCTAACACATCTGACAAAGTATTTGCTGATCTCCCCACCCACTGTACAGTGACCAACATATTACTTGTCAACCAACTAAATTTCTTCATTTCATTCTTGTGTCGCCACATAGCCTCTTCAGAATTTTTCAACCAACCCCACCACCACTTTGGAATCCCCCTCAATTATTAGGTGTTGTACCCCCAGCTGGTTTGCAAATTGCACCCCTAGTACAGCAGCTAAAAGTTCTGCCCTGATGGAGTTCCCAATTCCCAATGTCATGTGGATTGGTTAATGCACTTTTTTTTTTGGGGGGGGGGAGGGTGCATTCTTATCCTCTTTACTTGTTTCTTATCAATATTCTTCATTTGTAAAAAGAGATGCAATAATGCCCATGATTTATGGAGAAGAATGTATAGTTGCCATTACTCATTAGCTGGATGAGATTAAAGACATATTTAATGGGTCTTGCAGACTTTGTTACCAGATCAAAGAGTCATGATTCATGGCATCTAGGGTGAACTCTCATTTCACTTGGTCTAGAGATTGGCCAATTCAATTACTAACATGTTGTGATGTAAAAAATCTAATAGAGCTTGCTCACAGAATGTTCTTTAAAACACTAGTCCTAAGAAAAAAAAAGAATATGATAATTATGGTGATATCTCAATCACAAGGAGCATTTGACAGATTTTGGATGGGGTTACTAATTAGTAATTGCCAATAAGCTGATTGGTTCTAGAAAAAAAAGGAAGTAGGAGACCTGGGCTCTTATGCAAAATAGATGTGGTGATTGCCATCACCGTGTCGACTGGGGTTTTCTTGGCTATATTCTAAGGAAGATGAATTTCTTAAAAAATGGCTACATTGGATAATATGTCTTCAAAACCCTGGGATTTTCTTTTACCTTGAATGGGTATCTGAAAGTTTCTTTTAATGCTCAAGAGGTATCTGACATGGTGATCATTCTCTTCCCTTCTGTTAATTTGTTGACAGAGGCTTGTAGCAATGTGATCATTAGAAGTAGTCATGACTTGTGAGCATGACCTGTTTTCATGCCATCTTTTTGCAGTTTATGTGGATTTGGGTTTCTCCATTCAACTTCTCTAGATTAGATGATTTAGTTATTTAGTTGTGCTTGATTGGAACATGATGAGTTGGATTATGTGGGTCAATTTCTGTTCATTTGTATGTTTTGTGATTGTTTTATTTAAAGATATACTCTGGCATTAAAATTTCAGGTTAAAACTTTTAAATTTTTTGTCCCTATATTATTATCTCATTTATTTTCCATTAGGTTTGTCTCTTACGTACTGACTTAATCGATGTTTATTTTTATGAAGCATGGCCAGGCTCTTGTTCTTGTGGATGAAGAAGATTGTCTGCCCGTTGAGATGACAAAACAGGAAGATGGACTTGTTGGGAGGTGAAGTAGATCTTGCAATACATATGCTTCTGTTTCTGTTTACAAAATATTTAAATGGATGCTGACAATTATGTTGACGTGTGAACAATTTTTCAGGTTGAAAGATAACAAAATATACTACCCATCAAGGTAGCCAAAAGTTTTTCTTCCATCCTTTTTTTCTTTCTAGAGGTGATGCAGGACAAGGTGTTCTTGCAATTGCTTAGGTTCTGACCTGCTTTTTATTATGCTTCTATACTTGACCTACAGAGATGATCCTGAATCTGTGGAACTTTGTTATTCAGACATTAAATGCCTTGATCCTGAAGCTTTTTTGTCATCAACTATTATGAATTTTTACATTCGGTAAGCATTTGCAATAGTATTCAGATTACTATCCTTATGTCTGTCAAATACAAAAGAAAAGAAATATTGTCATTTATGCATATTATCTAGGACACTGATCAACCAAATGTTTGAAAGTTGTGGAACACAAATTCTTAAACTATTTGCTGACATCAGAAGTACCATCTTTATCAGTTGCAATCTGAAATAGCATTCCTTTAATATTTGTTATGAGTGGAAAAATGATAAAAAAGAAACTTCCAACAGATAAATAGCTCTGCCCTCCATGAAGGTGTAAAAGAGACTTATCTTCATTTGTTATATTGATTTTTTTCTCTTATCATTTTTTCTGCCTTCATGACATTGTTGGAGATGTGGTTTAATTCCACAAGTTCATTAGCTGCTTTTATGGTCTTTGTTGGAAGGTTTAGGCACACAATGTTATTGTGGATCCTATTTCTAATAACTTGCTTTTACACTTTGGTAGATATTTACAGAGGCCTGCATCCTTGACAAGTAGACCAAGAGGAGATTATCATATTTTTAACACATATTTCTACAAGAAGCTTAAGGATGCTGTATTGTGCAAGGTATTTTTCTTTTGGAACGTTTTCACAATGATGCTTCAATTTCAGTAAATTCAGTCTCAGTTCTGGTGTACAATTCAGCCAACTTGGTAGCTGACATAACTATGTACCTGAGTTGCTAAGGGCACAAGGTTGTTGTATTGCTGTCAAATTCATAGTAATGATTTGGATAGTCACCTAGATGCGATTCATTGATACAATCTGTGATAGAGGAACACTTGACATTTATTGGGCCAAGATAACTGTGTTATTCCCCTTCATGTAACTGAAATTGTTCATAATAGAAAATTGAATAGTTTTTTTTTCATATACTTTATTCAACCCATAATCTTAAAACAAATTACTAGGATACATGGTCCAGTGTCTAAATATATTCATTTAGAATCTTAAGGTTAGACTTACTATTTTGTTTCCAGAATTATATTAATTTACTTGAGAAGTTTTTTACAAGCAATATCTTACTTTAGCATCTCTTCTATTGCAATTTGTAGAAGAGTGAGAAGGATACTTTCTTTGCTAAGTTCAGGAGGTGGTGGAAGGGTGTCAATATTTTTCTTAAGGCATATATACTTTTGCCAATACATGAAAAGTAAGTTGATTTTGATTTTGGTATACGTGAAATCCATTCTTATGAATTTATGTATCAGCTACCAATTGTGAAATGTTGTTTCTTTCTCATGCATTCTCTCTCTCTCTCTCTCTCTATTCCTATCTCTTCTTATTTATTAAGTGATGGATTGATGGCTAGAATATTTTAAAATTACCAATAAATCTGATGTAAGATGGGGTAGGAGTATACAGTGATGGGTCCTAACTCCTAAGACTGATTTGATTGTCCAGATTAAAAAAAATTATAATGTGCAAAAGAAGCAAATAAAATGAACTATGTGCTAATTCAAAAGAAAAAAAATCAAGAATCAAAGATGTCTAAAACCAATGAAAAGAATGTTGAACCAAGATAACATTGAAATAAACACGTAGGTTCTCCTGACATTAATGCCTAGATGTTTCCTTAGGAATTAGCACCTTCATAGTGCTTTTGTTTTAAATTGTGATCATTCTTGGCCCGGTCCGACCCAGCCAGGCCTTGGGCTCAATACTTAAAGCCTGGCCTGGCCTGCAATATATTATATATTTTTAAGTATATAATATATATAATATATTTTTATATATTATTATAATATATGTATTATGTTTTATATACACACGTATATTTAATATATATAATATATTTTTATATATTATTATAATATATGTATTATGTTTTATATACACACGTATATTTAATATATATAATATATTTTTATATATTATTATAATATATGTATTATGTTTTATATACACACGTATATTTTATTTTATATTAAATGTTTATTATTTTATATAAAATATAAAAGTTTTAAGTTTTATTTTAACATATAAATAAATATTTATGAATTGACACATGTCAGCACATGTGTCAAAACAACACTTGAGTCAATTCAAATATGAGAATTGTCCTTCTAAGCAAGGCCTTCATTCTCATTCCCTAAGCAATGTGTGACTTGGGAAAACATTCAATGGCTGAACTAACTATTTAGTGTTGTTTCAAGTCCTCCATTGCTCAAGAATGGGAATGAAGGCCTTGCCTTCATCTATAAAAGGATAGATAGGTAAGCCAAGCTGAACCAAACCTAGTGATTCAATGAGGCCCATGTCTTATTTTTTTGTGCCTTAAGCCCAAAGCCTAGCCAAACCCAATTTAATTTTGGCTTGTGTAATGTTTTTTTGTATGTACTACATGTTATTTAATTTAAAAAATTTAAATAGTTAATTTTTATTATTTGATGTCATGGACCCAAGGTCACTTACTCATTAGGCTTGGCCCGGCCCTATGTAAAGCTATGCCTAGGCTTGCAATCTAGGTTTGGGGTGTGGGCTAGGCCGGGCCAGGCCTAGCATAAAGTCTTTATCATTGGTGCTAAACTCGGCCCAGGCCATGATCATATATAGGTAACTAGACGGAATTTATTGTTTTGTGGAAAAAGAATTAAAATGTACAAGTGGGAGATGTGCCAAGCACCCCAACYTCGAGTTTTTTATATGTATACATATATGTATAAACATGTATTTTATCAATAAAAATGTATAATTATTTTTGAGACGTAACATGTGTATATATAAATATTATTTTATGTTTAATTTATATTTTTTAATTCGGTTTTTAATTTTTTATTTGAAAAAATGCTAAAAATTGCAATTTGAGGCCCAAAAAAGGGTTTTAGTGAAAATAGCGAGGGGGGGGGCAAGGTGCCTTTGGTTCCTTGGGACGCATAAACTTGAAAAGTTACCCAAAAAAAAAGATCACCCCAGTTGGACATTAGAGTGCAAAGTTATGGCCTATCGGCCTCTGGAATTTTGCACATACATTGAATGTGCAACCCGCAACCCAGTGACTGGGTTGAACGGGTAAGTGGGTGAACTGCTTGGGTTCAACAGTTTTTGACCAGATCAACATTCTTTGATCAACTGGCGGGTTTCAGCAGAATTGGACCTGGAATCAAGGTCAGGTGACGGTTTGAGCAGTTCAACCAGCTGGATCAGCGGTGGGTTGAAAACACTGATTTTTAGGCTATCTGATTCTACTCAACCCACAAGTTTTCAATCATACATTCATACACTCTGAACAATATCCCCAAAAAACAATTGATTTCTGGTCAATCCTTGTCTTGCTATTGAGTCAGCGATGGTGTTAGCTGATTTATTGTACTCTTCCTGCAGTGGTTCTATTCCTCCTTTGAGGTTCTTGGTTCTCTTTTAGTTGCTTGTAAAAATTTTCTAGTTTCCTCTACTTCCTTCTCTCCGTTTGCTTAATTTTTTTTTTCTTTTTCTATAAGCAACAGTTAAAAGAAATAGGGCACCTCCTTACTGTCAAAAGTTATAGACCGCATGGTACAAAACGCCTACCCCCTTTTCCTCACCATTATCAGTATTAGATGTTTCCCTTGTCATCTTTCCCTTGCCTAAGCAGGAGCCATCAAAGTTCAATTTTCTTTTGCCTTGTGCTGATGCCTCCTATTCAGTATAAATTTGTCATCTTAGAGAGTAGATTACAACTGTTTGCTGACCCATAGTGATCCCCTTCAGTTGCCAAATCCCAATGGGCAATTGTGACCACAATGATTTTTATTAAATACTCCATATTTTTTTGATCAATATTAAATACTCCATATTTTGTTCTTTATTTAGAAGAATTCTAGCATTCTTTTCACCACATAAACTCCAAAAGACTGCAGCTCTGGTACAATGCCACAAAGAATGAGAAAACTTTCAATGGCTATGATCATAACCAAACAGAAGAGAATCCCTTAGACACACACTCACTCTCTCTCTCTCTCTCAGTATCATGTTTTTATGGATTGGAAGATTTAAACTAATATAATTAGTTACAATCCTTATCTGAATTTTTAAAACAAGTCAATTCCAGAACTAATACCTACCAATGTAAATTGAAAACCAATAAAATTCTAACTTACAGAGTCTGAATTGGCTAACTTGCTCAATTCATGTCCATTTGGGTACTCGGGCAAGCCATGAGAGAGATTAGATAGATATAAAGAGAGGTAGAGCCCACATTGAGATGGGCCAATTGCTCAGCAAATGTTTTTTTTTTTTTTTTTATAGGAAATGGTAACTTTCATTAGATAATTAAAAAGATTACAGGCAGGCTTACCACCCACAAAAAGGATGGAAAAAGAAAATCTAAAACTTACAAACAGGCCCAAAACAAAGCCTCCCTAGTAACTCGCCTAGCTAAAGTGTCAGCCATTCCATTTGCTGACCTTCTTAAGTGCACCCCAATCTCCCTTGCTAAGCTAATAATCTCTCTTAGCGGCTGTCTAAGAGACCACACTCCCAGGTTTCTAGTTTGCATCCTCCCTATTACCAGCTTGGAGTCTCCTTCCACTTCTAATTGCTGCATGCTCCATTGTTTCGCCAATTTCAAACCTTGAAGTAAGGCCATTACTTCTGCCCTTAATGAATCTCCCACCCCAATTGGGCCTGAGGAAAGGGCCAAGACTTTTCCTTCCTCATCTCTGTACACACCCCCAATTCCCGACGGACCTGGATTACCCAAGGAGCTTCCGTCAAAGTTTAGCTTCACCTTGAACTGAGGCGGTGGTTCCCAACAATCTTGTACCACAGAGGAGGAAGACAAGGATATAGCTATAACACTCCAATTTCTAATCAAGTCCGCTGAGGAGAAATCCTTGAAGAGATGATGTTCTTTTGGCTATTACCCTAGATAAACAAGGGGTATCTAGGGTCTAGGGAACAACTATTTTGGGCTTTATTGTATGTATGATGTTATCATGGTGGATAGGCTCTTGTGGGAGCTGGCATAAGCTATTTATTTTCTGAATTAATAATATATATTTTTTCTGTTACTAGAAAGGAGGAAAGTTTTGACACTTCAAATTTGAGCGAGCTGATTTAGAGTTGTGATTTCATACAACATCCAACGGAGAGGCGCGAGCTGCAGCCCCTCCTAGAAGCTTACAAGTAAACTAGGAAAAATATACAGGAATCACAGCTGAGCCCAAAATAATTCTTCCCTATTTACCCCTTGCTTTGTTAACACATTGGCCAAAGTATTTGCTGATCTCCCCAACCACTGTAAAGAAATCCACATATTCCTTGTCAACCAACTAAACTTCTTCATTTTGTTCTTGTAGCACCATATAGCATCTTCAGAATTTTTCAACCAGCCCACCTCCACCTTGGAATCCCCTTTAATTATCAGATGCTCTACCCTCAGCTGGTTTGCAAACTGCACCCCTTGTACAGCAGCTAATAATTCTGCCCTGATAGAGTCTCCGAATCCTAAAGGACCCGAATAAAGCAAGACAATCTCTCCATTCTTGTGTAGGTTCAAATTATTGAACTATGACTGAATATTTATCCCTTTTCCACTCACATCAAACTGTTTTAATTGGTGCAAGTTCTGGTAGACAAGTCCTGCACCAATAGTATCTATATAGCTTGGGATCTTGCGTGTGGCAAGTGGCAGGATAGTTGGTGCCCAAACTGTCCTATATCCATGTGACAACTTCTGTCCAAATAACTTGCCACCTGTGGTAAAAGGCTACTTTTTGGGCAGAAAGAACCCACTCCTTTGATTGATGGTTTCAACTTGCTATATGGTCCTCCACATGGTGGAAGGTGAGCGGAGGTGGATCATCCAGCAAGGAGGCATGGAGGATTGCCTCATATAGATTTTATTTCAAATCTCCTTATGGTAAGTCATTGTTCCTGGAAAATTGAATTGTCTTTTATGCCAAGGAGGCATTTTTTCAAGTGACTTATATACTTAATGAAAATAAGAATGAGCCAAAATCTTGAGGTACACCAATCTCCATGTAGAACCATGGGCTACCAGTTTAAGCATTGTGAAAGAGTTGGTTTTAAGGATTATGTGATGATCTTCCATTTGTTTGGACTTGAAATGTACTTAAAAATTGATAATTAGTATCTTTTTCTCATTTTATATGTAGACAAAGCTGCATTCTGTTCTTGATTTTCTCTGGTTTTGATGGCGGCAGTCTTCATTGGAGCCTGGTGATTATTTGTTTTCCAGACAAGGAAGATGAATCAGGGCCAATTATACTCCATTTGGATTCATTGGGATATCATATTAGTAGCCAGATATTTGAGAACATCAAAAGGTGAGATGATGGAAACCCTTTCCATCTAAGGCGGTTCTGTTTATTAGGTTCCTTCTTAAACTCATGGGATTTTAGTATGGGCTTACAGTTAAATAGTTTTGTTTTCGGTTGATGCTACGTGCTTATTTATATCTAAAATTTGTCATTGATATGCTTGGCTTGTGCAACAAGTGTAGGATATTAAATCAGTTCGAGATCATAGATTAAGTAGTCTGGATGACTGTGTTCAAAATCTACAACAATGGTTTTGAAAATCTTTAGGTAAGGTCCACCCAAGGTATCATATAGATATCTCCTTATTCACATCTCTGCTAAAGGCCTACTTTACCCAGATATGACAAGGAAATGGATGGATGCTATTGGTTATGAAATAGAAACTAAAAATTGAAGTATCTAACATGATGCTTTTCTTATTCTTTGTTTGAAAATGGTGGACCAATAAAATAATTCCACTGACATTGATGTAGCTCATAAAGATGCTTTTCTTATTCATTTCTTTCCAAGTATACCGTCATAAAGTGAAAGGAAGTATTTCTTAGTTAATCACTTAATTTGATTTTTAATGCTACAAGCCCTGGAACCTTCATTGGATAGGCTCTGTTGTACTTGACGTCTTGACCTATCAAAGAGTAATTTGAGTACTAAAATCGTTTATCCTATATATTATCAGTGTTGCATGGACTCTCTAAATGGATGAAGAGTTTATTTGACATTAGTTGGATTCTGACGCTCCTTGGTTTTCTGAGGGGCATTTCTACATTGTTTTCTTTTTTTCTTCTAGCGTAGTTGACATAAATGAACAACTAATTCACAAAGGCTTAACATGTTTCCTTTGTTGTGAATTATCTGTTCATTTATGTCAAATATGCTAGAAGTAAAAAGAAAATATTATGTAGAAGTGCCCCTTGGAAAACCAAGGTGCGTCAGAATACAACTAATGTCAAATAAACTCTTCATCCATTTAGAGAGTCCATGCAACACTGTGATTGTATATAGGATAAGGAGTTCTAGTGCTTAAATTATTCTTTGATAGGTCAAGAAGTACAATGTTAGTCAATATGAACTCCATTCAACAGTAACACTGCTGAAGGCATGGTTTTATGGACTAATGTGTTGTGTAGAGAGGCTATGGACAGCACAGGCAATTCATTAGCAGGTTGGTCCTTAGCTTGCCAGATGTTTTTGTAAGAGGTAAATCATGCCTGCAAAGTTTACAAACATTTATTGTCTTTGATTTACTTTGCTTTATGACTTGGCCATAATCTTGAATTTTGTGGGGGTTTAAGTACCAAATTATGTTACAGCAACGACTCTTTTCTGGGAAGTATTGTATAGGGAAAAAATGATTTACTGTACTCTGTACATGTTATATTTGTATGAGTATTGGAATGATATGGGTTCATAAAGCATGCTTCCGAGCACAGGTATCTCTACTGTGTTGTGCTTTCTAAACAATAAAGTTCATGTATTGGTTAAGTTTTATGATGTGGATTTGGGGCAACAAATTCTTTTGTGCAGTAGTTATAATGTGACTTTTGAGCCTGCAAAAGGGTGTCCTCATAACTTTTATTGCCATGGGAAACCTATTTTCATTATAGCAGTACCTCATAGCCTATTGAATCTCAGTTGTAATTCTTTTGTGCATTGTAGCTTTTTACGAAAAGAATGGGAATACCTGCGTCAAGAAGCCACTTCATCAGATCTTCCTTTTGCAGACAGAATATGGCAGAACTTGCCCCGAAGAATAGATGACAAAATCATAACGGTAAACTTTTTGGAATATTTACCTTAGTTTATGACAATTTATGCTGTAAGTTCTGTTTTGCAAAATTGTTCTACTCTCCCTTTACCATCCTGTCTCCACTATGGTGTTAAAAGACATTTTGGCCCCCCACCCCCTCCAGTGGCATTTCTATGGGTACTATTTACCACTCTGTTCTAGAGCCCATAATTCTCCTAAAGCAGTCTCTCTTCTCCATGGTCAGGTGAATGCCCCTGAGACTGCTTTTTGGGTGGTTGACAAATAGACTGTTACCATTTCAAAGCATTTAATGATGTTTACTGTGTTCTACATGCATTCCCTACATGTCTTGAGGAAAAGCAAAGCACTATCTGTGAATTGTAGGGGTTTCCCCTGCTTTGTACATCTTCTCATGTACCTCTTTTTCTCTTAATGAATCTTGGTTAACTTTTTCTCAAAAATTGTAAAGGAAAGTGAAGATGGAAGACCTTCCTGCATCAAGCCCCTTGAGGATTCATGGAAGCCTCTGGGTGTAGGTTCTAATCCAGTTTACCCCTCCCAAGATTCAATATAGCTACTTCCAACTTTAGATAATGGTCCTGACAACTCTTTTTTCCATTCTCTACTCTCTATTCATTGAATAAGTTTTGGCCCCAAAGACCTTTCCATTTGTTTGAGTCAGAATAAGGATAACATTCATATTAAACATAATTAAAAGCATAAATGTCTATTTTCAGTTGAGCAACTCTAATACAATTTTGGGCATAGAGCTGGTATGGACGAGGGGTTCAACAATCAACACATTATATCTATCCAGTGGATCTCCTACTCAATGATGATCTCAACCAATCACAGGATTCCTCCACATGGCAGAAATAAATGGTCATTGTTAGAAGTTCCCTACATGACCTGATTAGAAACTCTTTTTTCATTTACATTTACGTGGGAATGAGTCTGTTTTATGCACCTGACCAATATGCCAAATGCCCTGGAACTGATTGATTATAACAAATCAGACTATTTAAACTTTGTCTGTAAAATCTTGCCAGTCAGGTCAATTAGTGAACTTTTTTGATAGGCTGTCATTTAGTGAGCTTACCTGAATGATTTGGGAATCTTCCATGTGGCCACTTAGTTTGGAGATCGAAGTAGCTGAATTTGATAGCTGTTTTACTGGCTATGGGACTGATCATTTTGTTCCATGCTAGCTAGCAATATTTGCAAATGAGAGATTGAGTGGTTTCTGCCCAATAACTGCTGTATACAAGAATGTCATCAAAGATATGAGGATAAAGTGCCTGAGGTAGGGGTGAAAGACATCATTCATTAGGCTCTGAAATGTGGAAGGTGCATTAGTCAGCCCAAATGGCATGATCACAAATTCATTGTGGCGATCATGGGAGTTGAAAATATGTTTTCTTTTTTGATAATTGAAATATTAAGGGAATTGGAAATCTGTCCTTTACTATAATTCTGTTAAGGGCCCTACAATCAACACAAAAGCGCCATGTGCCATCCTTTTTCATAAGGAGCACTGTTGAAGAGGTAGGTAAGGACTGAACCCTTTTGTCCATCTCTTGGAACTTTATTAATTCAAATAAGAGGATTGACACCAATCCAAGTTCGGATTTCCTCACAGAATGGTCCTCACACCCACCTTAAACATCACTTGCAGCTGTGATTGGGAACATTTCCCCATGAATGAAAACATACAAGCATGGGAGATTTTCCTGATGTGCGCCTGCAGTGTGCTGTGAGGAAGAAATTTGAACTCAACCAATCTATCCCAAACTTAATTGCATAGTGTTCAAGGTGCCAAGGTGAAGCTAGGTAATAGGGAGCATGTTGTCGCCTAGTTGCTTAGGTGGGGTGCCTAATGTGGTGGAATTTTTTACATAGAAACCATGAATAATAGGATAGTTCCCTAGGTTCCATTAGCAACCAGCAACCATCTTTCATTGATACTTATCTATTAACTTTCATAAAAAAGTGTTAAGTTTCATATTAAAACATAGAAAATTAACATATTTATGAGAAGAAAAAGAAGAAAAGAAAACTCATAAAATATAGGGGCTGAGCCCCTATTTTTGTTTAGGAAAAGGAGAAAAAAGGGGGTAGAAGAAGAAGATGATGATGATGATCAAGATAAAGAATGTGTTGATTGGACAGAATTTGAAGTTCTTCCTTGCTTATTGATGGTTCGGGTTTTGAAGTCTTTGAGGGTTCAAGACAGCATACACCAACATGTGTGTTGAATGATATCTATTTAATCATGTAAACCTACAAAATTGAGAATGATATCTATTTAAGTATTATATTATCAGAAAACAAAGAATGTGAAAGTGTTTCATAGTGGCATGTACAAAATTGGTAGGCGATTAAGTGGAGCGACAATCCATGGGCGCCTTGTTGCCTAGGCGTCGCCTTAACAACTATGCTTGATTTTTGAACTCTATTTTGATGACAGTACTTTAGGGGAGGTCCTATGAAAAAGATAGCTCAACTCCGGGATGATATAAGAGCTTAACACCTCTCATTCTTATTACTTGTTAAGTTTCACACTTACACTCGTCTTTGTCATTTTTCTGTTCTCTTTGATGCTTTTTAAATTGGATTAAGAGTTTGAAAACGACTTACTTACCAACGTGTTCTTAGACTTCAGAAAAAGGAAAACACCAATGAGATGGTCACTAGTATTTGTTTTTCAGGGTACTTAGTTCCATTTAGCTATTTTCTAACTCCATGATCTTTCAGGTTCCCCAACAAAAAAATGACTACGATTGTGGCATCTTTGTACTTTTCTTCATGGAACGTTTTATCAAAGAAGCTCCTGAAAGGCTTAGAAAAAAGGATTTAGCTATGGTATGCTGCTTTCCTTTGATTTATAATCCAACCTATCAGGTCTGGTTTGTATGTTGTTTTCCCTTGGTTAATTTGTTTTATTACTCAAGTTTGGCAAGCAGTGGTTCAAACCCGAAGAGGCATCTGGATTGAGAGAGAGAATCCGAAAGTTGCTTCTTGAAGAGTTTCAAAATGCTGATATAGAGGACTGTAGCAGGGAATCGTCACCTACATCGTCAGGGGACTCTGGTGGGAAGGACAGAACATTAAACTGATCATTGACGGATCCTTTGGAGCTATTATTTGCTCGCCACCAAAATTTACAGAATTTTGTGCCCGGTATGGGTTTTTGATTTTTCCATTTATCTCCGCAGAATGTACAGCCTGTACAAATTTAGACGCTGAGTTCCTCAGACGAATCCATTCATTGAATCAACTCTAGCCGGGGATCAACTTGTGTAAAAGAAATTAGTGGTTTAGCTGTGTATAGTCTTATAGTACATCTAGGCGTGAATCCTTACATGTTTTTGAAGGTGTTTCAGACATCTGTGAAGAGTGAAGCAGGGCTATATATTTGTACACAGTTAAATGAACACATGGAGTGATGGAGTACATTCCATTTGCCCTAATTTATGTAGAAATACAGAAGAGTTTCAGAAAATGAAATTGTTGGTAATTGGGCCTTCGAACAATATCTACCGTACTGAAGTCCTCACATGTCCAATCGGTGGTTTATGTGTTTTGTTTTTTGTTTTTTGTTTTTTTTGTCTTTTTAGGCTTTTGAGCGGATTCTTTACGGTGGGTTCTTACCTCAACTCAACGACGATCACTGTATGATCACGTATTTGTTATTGCCGGCGTGTTGTTTATTTATTTATTTTTGGATTTCCACGGATTTTGAGACGTGGAAAGCTGAAAAGCAACTCTCGGTGAAAAACATAGTGCAAGGTAGAGCGGTGGTCGTTCAACCACTTGAATTGAATGGACTAGCTGTGCGACTTTGGGGCCGTTCGGGAAGGTTGAGCTTAAAATTCAGTTAAGCTGGTTCAGTTAGTTACTTTGAAACACTACACACTCTCGACAAGTTAAATTCAAAGAGGTTGAAGCGGGCAACCCTTTAAATGACCGGCTGACAGTCAATTTGAGCTCTTTAAATTCTTCATCCTACATAGCTTATGGGCTCTGTGTGGGGTCACCTCCTAAGGTATTCGTAGTAAACCAAAAATTATGGTACTAGAAATTCTCAGACCAGATTAAACCATTTTCGTATAGAAACTAGATATTGGACTGTTAATTACGGTTTGGTTGGGTTTTTAATTTTTTATTAGCTTGGGAGTTGGGAGTGAGTGAGTCATGTAACATGTTTAAATGTTAAATGAATATATATATATATATATATATATATATATATATATATATAATTGTACTGCATATGTTTAGACATGTGTATTACCTATTAGTATTGTATAAATTACAGTCACACTTTCTCAAACATAAACAACTCCTTGAGCATCAAATTACAAGTTAAAATTAAATGTTAAATGAATATATATATATATATATATATATATATATATATATATATAATTGTACTGCATATGTTTAGACATGTGTATTATCTATTAGGGTTAACTACTTAAAAGTATCCCTGAAGTTTTGAAAATTTGATTCTTGCCTTGCAGTTAAGTTGGATAAAAAGATGGGAAAATCTATGATGCAGGAAAGATAATGGTATGGAAAGAATTTTGACTAATCAAAACCCACCCATGAATTTTGGTAAATAACACATTATCTTTAACTATTCTTTAAATTTTTGAAACATGTCAATAGTCTGCATTTCTGCTACTTGCAAAACCTTTTAACGGGAAAGTGCTTTAAAGTAACTGTTTTTATTAAAAAATTAAGCAAAAAAAAAAAAAGAAAAAGAAGAAAAGAAACGAGCCCTCCTCCATAGTTTTGAAACAGATCCATTTTAGAACCGAAGTTCATTGAGAGTGTTTTTACCCATGGGATTTGCAATTCTCTCCTCTCTTCCACCAATTTCACTTGGATCTTCTCCTCAAACAATGCACCTTACACCAACCTCACAGCCCCATCCCAGCATGTATTGGTAGCATATCCTCATGAATAACAACACAAAGTATGACACGTATTTCCAATACATGCTAAGATGGGGCTGAGGTTGGTGTGAGGTGCATTCTTTGAGGAACAGATCTGGATTCCCTAATTTCCTGCCTTCGTTACCAAAAAGGGCATTCATAACGAAAAAAGATTTGGTGGTGACCAATCTTTGTCAAACAAAGGCTCAAGGGGAAACAAGATGGGGTCAAAGTGTTTAATTTGTAGATGATTGAACGTATTCAATGAAGAAAATATATAAACAAGAAAAATAAAAGATCTAATGGTAATAAGACAACCATTTCAATTCATCAATTTTACCAAAGTTTTGAATTGCTTTTGATGGCTTCCTAAGGCCGTGTTTGATTTCGGTGGAAAAATCATCAATGTAAATGTTAATGGATGGAAAAGTCAGTGATCGGTTTAAAATTTGAGTGGACAGTTGGAGTTTTTTATGTGATAATCAATGTAAATGTACACCAATAAAATCGATGGAAAAGTCAGCCAATTAGATGGTTTACATTAATTTTCGAAGTAAATTTTACACTGGAAACAAGCGCTTGAAAAAGCGGACAGAGTGTGTAGTTTTACATTGATTTGCTTTTACATTGGAAACAAACACGTGTAAATGTGAACCAACGGTGAAATTTTATATTGATTCACATTTACGCTAAAAACAAATGCAGCCTAAAGAATCAGTTTATTTAGATTGTTGGTTTGTGTTGTGGAAGAAAAACCAATCAGTGCGTGCATCTTTGCCTTCGACCAATAAATATAAGTTCTTTTGCAACTTACTTTCCCACCAATCTAGTAAGGCGTTGGGTTTCATTTGCAGCAGGAGTGATGGCAAGTATTGTCTCTGGCATGCCAAATATTTCATCTTATCCCACAAGTCCGAAGATCACAAGACAGCCATTTCTAAATATAAGAAGAATGTTGAACGCAAAGAATTAACAAAAAATTGATGCTTTGATGGATTTCATCGTCTTGCATTCCTTGGGATCAGCATCTACATAGTTAACCTTAGGAACTGTATTGCATATCATCACAACTTTAGCAGAGGAATCCCTGTTCAAAGGTTCAAGAGGATGTCTGTAAACTTCTCAAGAAATCCTTCCATTAGCATTTTTAGCCCCTGGTATATCCAAGATGACCTCAATAACTCCGGAGTCGGAAGTTCCATCTTTGCAAAATCAAAAGTAGATTGCAGAATAGGACTTCTGTAGCTCTGATTCTGCCATTAATAAGAACTCCCTGACACCGGGCTCACTTGTCGAGACTAACTCCCAGGACATGAATTCTCCATCAAAATATGAAAAATCCGAAAGAAAGAAAATAATGGTATTATATGAACCAGCATAATACGATGAAATCAGCAATCGGCCATGGTCGTTTCTACATTTAACGCACTATCTTCGCATCATTCTTGATACACAGCTAACGCACCATCCATTTGGAACGAGTACAAATACAAATATAAATATGTAGAGAGCAAAAATACAAGAGAGTGTAAAACCTTATATTTTGTATGTATTTGTACTGTACATATTTGTATTTATATTCCTTATCCATTGTTAAACCAAATTTGGGGTTTGTTTTTGACAGGGGTAGGGTCAATGGTAACTAGTAAGGGCGAAATTAGATTTTCAACGAATTAAAAGTATCATATGATGTCATGTAAGCTAAATATGACGGCCAACCAACAAAAAATTAGGTGGCGTTTGATCAATCTGAAAATTCAGATATGAAAAGTTTAAAAGATATTAAAAGTGTTTGAAATCTAAAAAGAGGCATAATTGCTTTTCTATTTTTTAGAGGGTCCGAATCCATAAGTTTGTTTGTGTTGGATGGATCCTTTACCATCTGAAATTTACTGATTTTACTATTTTACCCCTAGAACATACTATTTGGAAATGTTGAATTCAATTTACATTATCTCATAAAAAATATTTTTCAACCTCAAAATAATATTGAAACAATACAAATAAAAAATAAAAAATTATTAATTATTAATTAATAAATGAAACGATTAAAATAAAAAATGACTATAAAAACATTAAAATAATTAATAATTTATACAAATAAAAATTAAAATAATTTTTAAAAATTAATGAAATAATTAAAATTACTAGTTAATAAAAATAATTAATAAATAACACAAGTAAATTTAATAATAAATAACTAATGTTTAATAAAAAAATAATTAATAATTAATAAAAAATTGCAATGGAAGACAGGGAGAGAGGGAGGGAAGAGAGAGAGAGAGCGACAGCGAGAGAGAGAAGACAAGGGGAGAGAGAGAGAGCTGCCACTACAACTTGCAACGGCAGTGGCGATGGTGGGAAGAAAGGGGAGGGAGGGAGGGAGGGAGAGAGAGAGAGAGAGAGAATCGCCGCGGTGGTGGCTCTTCTCTCTCGCTCTTGCCCTCTTGCAGCGGCAGTGGTGAAAGACAGGGCATAGAGCAAGCGAAAGTGAGAGAGAAGAACCACGGTGGTGGGAATATAGGAGAGAGACAGAGAGAGTGCAGCGGTGGTGGTGGCGGTGGAGCTTCGTTAGTTCACAATGAGGGTTTGATTCGATTTACATGAAGGACAAAAATATGTAATATTAATTTTTTTTAAGGTATTTATGTCTTTTACGCACCTCTCAATTATGTCTGAACGCATAAGTGCCAGGCTATTGACTTAAAATTTCAAATCTAAAAAAAGATTTCAGACGCAACACCAAGTGAGTCTGGTGTTTGAAAAGCAAGTTTTTCAGACACCAAACATCTGAAAAGTGTTATCAAATGAGGCCTTAGTCTATGCCATATTATGTGATACTTTAGGGGTCTTTAAGTAGGATTTAAATTAATAAGGGTACTTCAAGTCAAGGTTCAAAATATCGATATGCTTGATATGTCAATATGGGTGTATCGGGCGGTTAGATACTTATTTTTTTTTTACTTTTTTTATTTTTTTCAAAACTGGTTCAGGGGAGCCAGTCTAGGACCCCTCCATCCCCTGAACCKGTCAGACCCCCAATACACCCACTGTAGGGGCATATCGGAAGGGTCCCATAACGATACATATCGGCCAATACAAGCCGATACGTAATGATACTTTGAACCTTGCTTCAAGTAATTATCAGAAAAGTTCTGGCATACTTGGGGTCTGTTTTGTTCATAGTTGGAATCGGAATCAAAATCTTTCATAATTAAAATTGAAATCAGAACCAAAATCTTTCAAAATTGAAATCAGAATGTTCTATTTCCGTAATTTGTTTGATTTAGACAAGAATGAGAATGAGAATTAGAATTAGAATCAACAGGAATAAGATTTAGTTTTCAAAGGAGAGAGAGAAAATAGGCATTCCCTCAAATGGAAGAATGCCAATCCAACAGGAATGGGAATGGGATTCTGATTCCACTCAACCAAACGGTTGGAATTGAAATAACCCATTCTAATTCCGATTCTAGACCCCTATTCCTGTAAACCAAAGGGGACCCAAGTGATTAACCCTATATGTTACTTATATTATTAATAATTCCATTTAATTCAGTTTATGGTTTGGTCTGATTTCTGAAACTTACAAGGCTGCATAGAGAATAAGATTACAGTTACAGCAGCTGAATTTGGTAACAGTACGGAGAATTTGGTCACACATAGCAGTGATCGTACATCTAGCCGTTGACAGTGTAAGCATCAGCTTCTGATCAACCCCAAACCACAAAAAGGTTGTAAATTACAAAATGGTGGTCGGACCTTAAAAATTAAATCATTAATAATTGAAAAATAGAAGCTGGTCTTTAATATAACAGGTGGGAGTGGGATAGCTAGTCCACCTAGAATTGGATAGGGTAAATCAAATACACAATTTAATAATAAGAACAGGCAAAAAGGGGTAAATGAAGGAAAAGCTTTACATCATCTTCCCGTCAGATGTGATGCTGCAGAGCTTCTCAGCCAGTAATATCATCGTGGTTTTTTCCAGCTGTGAACTCTCATCTTTCTGATCTTGAATGCAAATATAATATTCATAGTGCAATGCATCTCCTAGTTTTATTTGTTTCTCTGCTCTAAGGGGAGTAGTTTTTTCAAGGTCCCCTATACTTGCGGAAACACAGACAACCTTGAGGTTGATCAAGAGGGATCATACCTCCACCTTTTGATGTGTCGATAGCCTCCAACATGGTCACCACTTCATCCATTTCTGGCCGCTTGTCAGGGCTTGCATCCCAGCATCGCTTCATTACATTGGCTAGAGAACTTGGGCAACAGCGGGGGATCTCTGGCCTCAGATTCTGCAGTTCAGGTACATTTTGGATTAGTTGTTAATTTTATGGTGCTCAACACTATCGACACTCTAGGGAAAAAACATATTTTTTTGTACCTGGCGGACAACAGCAGATGTCACTTCCGAGAAGCTAAGGTCGGGATATGGCATGTCACAGCAATATATTTCCCACAAGCAGATACCAAAACTGTACACATCACATTTCCTGTTGTATGGATTGCCATTGAGGACCTGCATTGGGCATCATTCATCTGAGTCGCTGGTGATTGTGTTGGGAACACATACTATATTTTAATAACAGGGTTCAATTCATTTCCTTGCTTTTAGTTTGTAGGAATTTTATTTTACTAGCAAAACTTCGGATGGATGATAGAGGTGTGTGTTTCAAAGAAATTTGACATATAGGAGGGCACTGCTCCAAGGATACACTATAGCCACACAATGGGAACATCTCAGTTGTCATTCATGGGTTGATGTTCCTGATACACAGCTATAGTGTCTTGTGGGTGGCAGATCCAAGAACTTCTCTAAGACATGGTATGGGTTTAAAGGTGACATGGAAGATGAATGAAATTGTTGGCAACACCAAAGTCTTGCCTATCTAATGGACAACCTGGATGATCCACATTATTGATCCAAGTTATCTAACCTTAAACAGGGATATGGTTGGTATAGCAAAAAGAGAAAATTTCAAAAATAGAATAGCATGACATAGATTGGCAATGTAAACTCTCAAATTGTAAGTTGACTCTACCTCAGGAGCCATGTAACCAAGGGTCCCTGTCTCACCCGTCATATCATTAGGGTTTTGAGCCTCAACACGAGCAACTCCAAAGTCAGCTATTTTTACAGTTCGTGTCTTATCTAGAAGCATGTTCTCTGTCTTCACATCTCTGTGAACAATCTTCTTGGAATGAAGGTAACTTAACCTATAAAATGAAGAAAACCTTGCTCATTCACAGTTCAATCATTAAATATTCATGAAATGTGTAATATCAAACTGACTGTTTTATGATTAAAATAATGGCAGAGTCCCACCCTCGTGCGAGATCCAGGGCCAATTGGACAACAACTTTAAAAGCTAGCTTCTTTCTCCGGTTTTTTATAAGGTAAGATTTCAATGCACCTCCCGGAAGATATTCAACAACAACACAGCAAACATTACTCGACATGCCAATTTGACCATTATCTGTTTGTATATTAAGTTCTGATGTCCCCATTGTAGCTCCAATAAACTGCAGTGAGATCCATACAAATGTGAGGAGCAGCACCTAAGAAACATCTCAAGACAAATCATGAGGATCATGGAAAATAGATATTGCCTATTCCGAACTATATAATCAAGGGCAGTATCACATGAACATTCTGTGGAATCAGCTCCCTTATTCATGTAGAGAACAATCATAATAATGCAAAATCAACCCTCTGGACAAATACCATAAATAATGTTGCAAAAACCGTAAGCTAACTTTAAAAGCTAGCTTCTTCGGTTTTTTATAAGGTAAGATTTCAATGCACCTCCTGGAAGATATTCAACAACAACACAGCAAACATTACTCGACATGCCAATTTGACCATTATCTGTTTGTATATTAAGCTCTGATGTCCCCATTGTAGCTCCTATAAACTGCAGTGAGATCCATACAAATGTGAGGAGCAGCGCCTAAGAAACATCTCAAGACAAATCATGAGGATCATGGAAAACAGATATTGTCTATTCCGAACTATAATCAAGGGCAGTATCACATGAACATTCTGTGGAATCAGCTCCTTTATTCATGTGGAGAACAATAATAATAATGCAGAACCAATCCTCTGGACAAATACTGTAAATAATGTTGCAAAAAAAATTCTGTAGTACCAAAGATATGTGATGGAACTTAGTACAACATTTTTTGACAGTATTTGTCTTGACCTCTAAATTATCATTACTAAGTTCCATCACATATATTTGGTACTACAGATTTTTTTTTTTTTGCAACATTATTTACGGTATTTGTCCAGAGGTCAAGACCTACCCAAAAACCAACATTAGGTTCCAATTCCATCACATGTCTTTTTATAATCCTATATATATATATATATATATGTGTTATTACATGTGGAAGAGGTCAAGACCTATCCAAAAACCAAGATTTAATACCCTTGCTTCAAATTCCAAATCCACTTATTAAATTGATAGAACAATCATAATCAACTTGAAAACTTAAATTTAGCACTATCCATAAGTTGCTATTTACAATACAAATCTAAGCTCAGCGAATATTTGAGTAATCATTCTCATGTTGACTAAATTTCATGTAGTTAGATATATTTTTTATTGGCTTGAAGCAATATCTTATTTCTGGCTGTCTGATTTTTTTTTTCTTTTTTAACACCAAGGACTGCTTATCCAATATATACTCAACAATGGACTATAGCAGCATATAACAGTAACTAAAAACAAATCTTATAAAAAGCCATGTGCCAGAATAGCTTGTGCCTTGTCCCAGGCATGTGCCTTTTGAAATTTTCCTTGTCTAGGTTCAAGTAGGGCACAAGCCTTAAAAATGCATCGAAGATATTAAAAAAAAAAAAGCCTTAAAATGCACCTTGCCTGTGTGCCTAGGCACACCTTTTGAAATACTTGTCAGAGTCAAACTTCCAATACAAATGGGGCAGGCATGTCTGCATTTGGTAATTTGAATTTACAAACAGCCCTTTGTACTTTGCAACTTAATTAGATATCATTATGTTAAGGGTAATTTTTATAGCCAAAAAATTGATTTTGGCTTCAAGGTACAGACCTTACACTATCCACAAGGGAAAACTAGTTCTCTTAACAGTGGTATGATATAAATTCCATACTTAGCTCAGTGTTTTACTTAGCACATGAGGGAGAATGCAAATACAGATTAGAAAAAAAAATAATGATGTGGGTTTACTCTGGCTTAATGCAAGTATGCAGATTCACTGACATGTTTTTTTGACAATCTAATTCTTGACTGGTAGATAGTTATGTTAAGGTATGCTCCCGGAAAATAATATGATAGAAATTTTTTGCATTCAGATTCTTACACTCTACAGACATGTATCTCACAGTGACCACAGACACATTTAGGCACCAGACTAACCGACAAGCTTAGCCCAGTTGGTATTTAAAATTGTAAATAACCTGGTATTTACAATTTGTGCTTTACTGATAAAGAATTAAAATTTTGTCCTTTAACCAAATAATAGGCATCCCATTCCCATTATTCAATGAAAAACCAATAACAACCCAATGTGAAAGTACATTGTTGTAGATTAGACTTTTACCAAATCCATGAATTAACTAATACTAATCAGTGCAACCAAAATTTCCATTAAGCTTTTTTTTTTGATAAATAAGTTTTCCATTAAGCATGAAGTGTTAAGAGAAAGAAAGGGAGGAAAAAAACCTTTTTCATCCTTGTTCTCCATCATCAATAGTTTATAAGTTAATAACATAATATGCAATAAATAACACAAGAGACATTTGGAGAGTAACCGGTCTCTTTTGACCAAGATAAACCCAAGATAGGGAGTTAAAAAGTGCTTTTTTGATAATGAACCAATAAGAGAAGACTGGCAGAGTCCTTTTTGGTCCTTGGATCATTTATAAATTGCCAACAAACCATGCAATAAATAGAAAACACACATTAAGAGAATAACTAGTCTCTTTTCACAAAGATAACTAATATTACCTTAGTTACATTAGGGTGATCAAGCTTATGCCAGACAGCAACTTCCTGGGTAAATGCTGCTCTTAGTGAGGCAATTTCAGCTTCTGTTCTGTGGCCCTCTTCTCCCCAGTCAAGTAGTTTAACTGAAGATAGAAATGAGTAAATACTATGGTCAGTAAAACAAAATCACAATGTATCATTTAAAACCATGGGTTTTCCTATGATATCTGAATATTTGTATGTGCCTAGTGTAGAGTACACTTGGCAGCATTAATATTTTTAATAATGTAAAATCGTATGTTTTAATAAATAATACCATTAAAAGCTGTTTATGGTAGAGGCTTAATTAAATTTGGCAAGACATAAGTGTTGAGAATGAAACCTATCCATATCCAGGATCTTAGGAAGATGTGAATCTTGGGAACAGGGAACCATATCCCCATTTCCCATGTAACGGTGTTCGGGCATAAGGGCATTATAGGAATTTTCATATCATTTAAAAAAGTAAGCTTGATGCTTTGGAGACATTTAATAAAGCTTGAATGATAAAGAGAATATTACTTGGGCCCTGCTCAAGGATGACTTGCACAGGAATTTAACAAATAATATTTTCAACTACATTGAGCTCAGGTTCAGGCTTGGGCCCCTTGAAATTTAATAAATTCCCAATCAAACCCGAACCAAGTTCCACCCCTACCAATAAAGGCTCTTCCCCATACTAAAATTAGAACAGAATTAAAAAAAGAAAGAAAGAAATAGCAGATTCAAGTTCAACATGGTCGCTGCTTTCAAAGATTGCAGGTGGGACCTCTTGTTACCTGCTCCGTCTATATTAATCCATAACACCAGTTTTTTAATTGTTTTAATAATTTTTTTTATTGTTTCGTTAATATCAGTTTAATTTGCTTTTTGATCTATAATTTATTGGCATTGTGGAAGGAAACTAAACTACGAGAACAACCAACTAGATGAGATCACATGAAAGTTTAGGAAAGGAAACTCAAAAAACCACGATTATCTTGGAAGGTATTCCAGTTGCCTGCCAATCCAACTCTATCTCGTAAAAAACAGGTATACAAAGACCAGATACTAACTACTCCCATTGAAATCAACAGAAATTGGGTAATTTGCCAGAAGGAGAAAAATGCTCCACAAGGAGGAAAGAACTAAAACCAAGCCTAAAACGAGGCTTCTCATAGAAGTTCAATCAACCAAATTTATGTCGAACAAGCCAAAGCAGAACCTAGTAAGGAATTCTGTACGAAGAGCACTTCATGGTTTTCAACCAGATCAGCCATTGAAAGAGCACTCCTTGGGAATTTACTTAAACAACTAACTAGATATCGGATAAGATACTAAATAAGAGAAATAACACACAAGAATAACGGAAAAAATAAAAGAACGAAGTGGCATAAGTCCAAAAGTAAAGCCGAAAAGGAGGAAAGAAAAGATAAAGAACAATAGAAAGATAAATCCAAACGAATTGCCTAAAGGAGAGGGAGTAAAGGAAGCAAATATGCGGGGAAGAGAAGCTAAAACAAAACTGTTGTAGGCATAAGGAAATTAACAGCTCTGTATGAAAAGAATCAAAATAGGCATGTTAAAGATGTGAAGTTAAAAAAAAGAAGTTTTTTAGAATAGAAGTATCGGAAAAAGGTTTCAGAGAGGAAAACAAACTAACGAGAAACGAAGAGAAGGAAATAATTTACAGAAAAAGGTATCTCACCTGCGACGTCCTGGCCATCATAAACCCCTCTGTGAACGGTGCCGAAAGAACCACGAGCAATAGCAGTCTTTATTATAAGTTTGCAAGGATCGATCTCCCACTCTTCCCTGGTGACCCGCTCCTTCTGCCCTTCGTCCTTCTTCTTGTCCGCGGTCCATGCTCGAGCAGCTCGACTGAGATGCCTCTCGAGCTGTTCGTCCAGTCTCTTCAGATCAATTTGATCTGCCCTAACAAACCCATCACTGCTCTCCTTCATGTTTTTCTCTCTCTGTGTATAGTTACTCTACTCCTAATCAATCAAAATAATAAAATCAGTCCTTCTTTAACTATATCTATCTCTGTTATTATTGCTGTTGCTGTAGACCTGTAGTTGCCAAAAAAAATTTGAGATTTGAGAAAGAGGGACGGTGGGTTTTAGTCCTCCTCTCTTTATTTCTCTCTGTTCCACTGTTTCACTCCTCTTTTCTCTCCTCTCTCCCTATCATCCATGTGGGCACATGGATTGCCTGAACAAAACGTGTTTTTGTGACCCCCACCTCGGTCTATTCTTTCCCCCCTTTTCTTTCCTTGTTTAAAACAAAAACCTCTCTTCCAGTCTTCCACCTTCTCCAGTGTTTTTCTTATAAGATTAGGGTTCTTTCTCTCGTTTCTTTTCTCGGTAAAGGGGTTGAATGGTTGATCATTGATGGGTTCACGGTCAATGTACTTTTATACAACGAATCTCCTTAAAAGCTGCTTTCCGTTGAAATTGGAAACATAATGGAAGTTGGAAAGCGTAGGATTGTGGGTATCTTTCCACTCGACAGAGCTTTGTGATAAAAATTTTGAGTTTTTCTCTTTCTGTGGAAATAGAAACTGATTCTTGATTTTCTTTCTTCATCATAAATATATACTCTAGGCCAGGCTTTTATGGTAAAGATGTTTTAATTTATTTATTCAATTCAACAAGATTCCATTCCGCTGCATACAACCCCATTTATAAACTTTCCCCGAAAAACAATCCCCGTATATAGGAAACATTTTTTTTTTCCCTTCGTCGAGGCTACACAACGGAACGGAGTACCCATCTCCTGTCCCTTAACCCCAATCCTGCAATGCTGGTGACAGTAGGATTTGATCTTATTACAACGAGTCGAAGATCATGAACTCATGATAGTTTAAGCATGCATAATCCGACCCGTCAATCTTTTTTCCTTTTTTCTCTTAATCCACGAATCGATTAGGGGTGCTTAACGAAAACTGAAAATTTGATCTGAATCAAGGAAACTGAATTTAAAATTTTGGTCGATCGAACTGATCATATTTATTTATTTATATAATATTATATTGTATTATTTATAACATTTATTTATAATATATATTGTAAATATTAAAAATCGAGAAATCAAAGAACAAACTACAAAACCAGTTAACTTATTGGTAAGGCTGCAACTTGGGCCGGATTAGCCAGAACCCAACCCAAAAAAGTTTGGTTGGGTTGATGTTTGGGTTAGGGTTAGGGTTAGAGTTGAAATTCATGAACCCAACTTTATTTCGGGTTGGGTTAGGGTTGACCCCTTAGCCAATCCGAACCTAACTCTATAGTATATGCCATATATAAATATATGTTATATATAACTTGATTTGTTTAGATGCACGATATTTGCATAACCCCCACCACATAGTATCATGTATTTCTTTTAAGATAATCACTTCACTTAATCCTAATCAGAAAGACTAAAACCTTAATGATATGTTGTTTGCCGCCCAAGAAAAATTTATCGTAAGCCATAACTCATAAATCATAATAAACTATAGTCATTTCTAACACTTGTTTTTCTGAATTTTGTATCAAAAGAACAAAAAAAAAATGTCAACAAACAAATACTAATGAAACATAGGATTAATATATGTATTGAAAGTTGAGTTGAGAAATCCTATGAGGTTTTAAGGAATGGGAAGAAGGTTAGATTGGGCCCAACCCAAAATTGACTTCGGATTGAGTTGGGTTGGGTTAGGGTTGAAGGAATTTAGTTAGGGTTAGGATGTCAGGTTGGGGTTTAGAACCATGGTTTTAAAAAATGAACCGGTGATCAAACCGGTCAGGGGTTTGGTTATCGGTTCAAATGGTTCAACCATTCAACTCAAACGGCCGACCCATTCTGACAAAAAAATTAAAAAATTGGAAAATGGTCAAAACCATTCGAACAATTAACCAGTTGATTCAGTAGTTTGCTGACCAAAATCAATGGTTTTGGGGGGGAAAAAGCAGTTTTGGAGGAAAACGGAACCGATCAGGTCTCAATTTTTCCGGTCTAACCGTCTGACCTTGTTCAGTTTTGAAAACAGTGTTTAGAACTTAAGATTGGGCTAGGATTGGCCCCAACCCGACCTAACCCGCCCCGACTTGTAACCCTACTGATTGGTTTCAACTCGGTTTCGATTCACAATTTTTCAAAAACTACCGGTATCAGTTAGGTTTCAAAAAAAGAGTCATAATTGGATTAACCAAACCATGAACACCCCTACAGTCAAGGGAGTCAGCATTGATCCAACTAAGAATTAGGTCCCTTTGTAGTTAACAAAACATGTTCCAACACACATCTAACATGATTTGACAACACACATCTCATACATGATGGGCCCCAGTCTCATGTCTCATGGTGAGATGTGTGGTGTTTGATTATATTGAAACATATTTTGATAGACTTTGCATTTCCTCCTCTCACCACACCTCATGATAAGTTGCAACTGCACATTATGGACATCTCTGTACTTGTATATTTTCATTCATGGAGAGATGTTCCAAAGGCATGATTGCTGTGAGGTGAGTATGAGAAGGTTTTTGTAAGGAGGAAAATCAGTTTCATTTTGTTTGGAGCAATCCCAATTCTCTTTTTTTAGTATAATGGACATGTTTAATTTTGGATAAGTTATTTATCCAGGTTGTAGTGTTGTACTTAGGTATGTGTTGTTTCCTAGAGTGCATTTATCTATGTTTTTTGCCCAAGTTGTGTGTTACCATTTTTACCCTTTTAATTTTTTTTTTGTCACTTTCAAATCTTGTTTAATGGTATAACTTTTAGCATTTTTTACCATTTAGGAGATGGTACTCAAGGAAAATTTGATTTACTATGGAACTCACCATTAGCGAAACATGAACGTGGGACACATTCACCCAAAAACAAACACACCCTACATATTATACATACATATTACTCTACCCAACTCCCTTTTTTAAGTATTACATATTACACATTACAAGGATTATGGGGTGGGAAGTAGCGTGCATGTATGGTCTAGTAATTTTGGTTGTATTTGATACCATTGTGAGTGGATTTTTTTATATAACAAATGGTTTGAATTGATCAATGCAATGTTTATTGTTGTTGCTGCTTCTTCATGAAAAATAAAATATGGTATTCCCACTATAAATACCAACAATCAGTCCCTAATGTTTAGCCGAGGGACGTTAAATGACCATTTGGGTCACTCAAGTTAACGATCTTACAAGCATAATCACCGATTTGATGAAACAGGTGTTTGATAGGGTATATGACAAATCAAGGGGAAAAAAACTCAATTGTATGGTCATTAATAGAACATGAATTGGGAGTGGGTGGGGAAACACCGAACTTAGATACGTGATGGGTGTGAGTATAAGGTGAGAGGCACTAAGGTAGTCTAGCTGAAAGATGGCAAATGGCAAAGGAGAGAGAGGTTTTGAAGGGATGAGGTTTTAAATTGGTAGAGGTAAGGGTGAGGAGTTCAAATCAGCCCCCCATAATGTCTCACAGTATATCTTTACCGTGTATTGGAACACATCTCTCAATGATGATATCATCATTTTCAGTATTATCATCGAAAAATATTCAATACACAGCAGGGATGTACTAAAAACGTTGTTATGGGGGGCTGATTTGATATCGGATAAAGATACAATTGCATGTGCAGATCCTTGGAGACCCTTTATTTATAAAAATCTCCGCCAGTTTATGAAAGATGTTAGGAGTTTGTTGGATTTGAATTACATAAATGAATTAGGGTTTCACCACATGTCTATGCAACTAGGTCAATACTTGAGTCTACATGGTGCCAAATATAATTTTAAATATCTATTTAATATACAATGATGCACCGTAGATTTTGCTCAAATAAATCCAAAATTTGAACATTAAAACCTTATACAACTTTTCTTTTTCTTTTTTTTTAAACCTTTTTATTCCTTTCCTTGATTCATTCTGCTATTATCTAAACCAATACAACAGAAACATTTCATCCTGCAGCTAATCTCCAGGCCAAGCGCATGTAAAATCCTGTGTGGGTCCTGATTCACTGAAAAGTAAAGCGCGTTAGTGACCAATTCCAAATTAATTAATGGATATTATATATATATATATATATATATATATATATTCCAATTAGGGATAGGAAAGCAATAATTTTGGAGTTTTCCAGCTAATTCCAACTATTGTTTCTTCCTCCACGACACATTCCTTTCCTCCTTCAATGTATCTGTGAATGACTGATTTGAATCTGATCTACCACGACGAGCTCCCCTGCAACACCTGGGCCGCTTGTGGGAAGACTACATTTTAGAATTGTCTAGTTTTGTTGGTTGATCTGATCGCTAACTTATTCTATCAAACAGTGAGGAGTGAGAGAGAATCAGTGACGGTGGACAGCTTCTGTGAAGGCCACAAGGCCCACAACTTGGAGACAGACAGCTTGTAGTTCCACATCTGGGGTACCATTGCCATTGTTACGGCAACATTGTGCAATAGGACGGCCTAAGTACTTCCTAGGCCGGACATTTGCAACGTGTAAAGTGGTCGAGGACCACGACTCAGTGGGCCCTCTCTTGAAGATTTCCCAGACACAACAATCACTCTGATGTGATGATTTCTTTCTTTCTTCTATTTCTCTCTCTTTATATATATATATATATATATATATTTCTAGCCTGTTATATGGGCCTAATTTGGAGGCCGATTGGGCCACATCCCAGCTTTGATAAAACGGTGGCATATTTGTGGTGAAAAGACTAAGCCACCCCTGAATATACTGATAGAATAATGCTATGGATGTGCCCATATCACTACCCTTGAAGTTCGAGGGCCCAGAATCATTAAATGATGGGCCATCATGGTTAGGTTGTGCTGCCAATGACGACCATTATTTCCGAATCCATGGGCTTAGATTTCAAGTCGATGTTTAGGCACGGTAAATTCTCTCCAGACACACAGCACCCTGTGCTAAGCTGGAATGGATCAGCAGTCTATGTCTTGTCGGTAGTGGTATTTTTGTCCGTCAATTGAATGTTTTATCATTCTGACCTGATGATTTTGGCAAGAGCTTAATTGCTACCTGTAACCCAATATTCCCCGTGAAAAATTGGGTTGGCCCAACCGGACCGGAACTATGTAGCCCCAAAAAGACCCTTGTCCAAAAAATTTGGATAATTTTGAGTGCATGTGAAGGATGAAAGTTGAAACCAGCTTTTTGGTTTTTTTAGGTTGAGCCCTCATATGCTATAAAGGGTCACGTGTGTTTTCTTCTCCCATTTGTCTTGGCAAGGTTTGTGTAATTGTTGTAATATAGACTATGGAAAGACAAACACAAATAGAGGGATAAGCCCGTAACTTAGGGGCGGGGCGGGGACCTTAATCTCCATCCCAACCTCATCAGGTTGGGGTAAGGTTCAAAATATTGATATGCCCGATACGTCGGTAGGGGTGTATTAGACATTTTGATACTTGTTTTTTTACTTTTTTTTATTTTTTTTTTTCAAAATTGGCTCAGGGGAGCCGGTCTAGGACCCCTCCATCCCCTAAACCGGTCAGACCCCCGATACACCCACTGTAGGGACATATCGGAAGGGTCCCAGAATGATACGTGTCAGCTAATACGTAACGATACTTTGAACTTTGGGTCGAGAAGTCAGGTCTCCGTCAGGGATGGGAAAAATTGCCATCCCTAAAAAAGGATGTAATTTTTCTTTTTCTTTTTTGGGGGGTTTCTATAATTCAGTGACTTCACTGAACTATAAATCCCATCCATGAATTGATGCCAAATTCATGAGCAGGGGTGGGGGGCTACTAAAAGACTAGGAGGGGGTTGCAATTCATATTTTTGAGGATAGATTGCAGTCCACTTTTCCCTTTTTTTT